GCTTATCCAATCTAAACTTCATTATGCTACTTGTGTCATATGTCTATTCCTCTAGGGTATCTAAATTTCATTTTACATTTAAGAATCAGGCTCCTAACTGCTTATGCGCTGTGTTGTTGTTGAGTTGAGTGGGTTTTAGGAGCTGCCATTAGTTCAACTTGGTTAAGTCTAAGGTTTGGGGCACGTAATTTATTGACGTGTTTCTATGTAACGATTTTTTACTTGGACATGCATGCATATATATACATTATATACATATACATACATATATATGCATGCAAGCTTTATATATGTTTATATATATTTTTAGGCCAACATGCGCGCTTAGCCATAAATTGTTTCGGCCAGCATAAAAAAGCATATGAAAACAGACCGTTGCGCTAAATTTCATTTCATGCAGCGCTGCGCTCCACAAAATATCCTTGTCGTTCTCATCCCCATTCCCATCCTCGTCCTCGTCGCCATAGTCGCAGTCGGGGTCAAGTTGAGTAAGTGCGTAGATGGGAATTTATGGCACACGCTCACCTCCGTCCGTTCCTTTCCATTTCGGCTACTGTGACAGTTTGGTCTTTTGCCAACACATCCCAACACCACCAGCACACTTAGTAAATTTGAGCGTTCAAGTCGCCTGTTAATTGAGTTCAAATATGCAATTACACATGTGTTTGTTATATGTTGCTGCTGGCCATCATATGCTTATAATAAATCAAATAATAAAACGCACATGTTTTAATTAAAGTTGTTACAAAACATAAAATAGCAAAAACTAAAAATGAGTAGCGTGCGTCTAGGATATACCCTGTCCAAGTCTTATCATTAAATATATAATTTAAGTAAACAAATAATATATGTAATTATTTTAATTCTTATTTTATTTAAATAATGTTGTGTTATGATATATTTTCCATGTTGTAAGTTAAGTTAACAATGTATTTCAATTCAAGTCCCATTGTTTCTGATGGCTATTTTTGCACATTTTGCATGCAATTATTAAATTATTTAAATTAATATTTGACTGCTATCGCTGCAGCTTTTGTTGTGTTTTCATTTCATTACAGGTAGTCAGCACTAGAATTTTATTTAAATAAAATCAGAGTAAGTACTTCTAAATGCAAAATCATAAAATATTGAACTTTATTTTTCGATACAAACACTTTCGGAAATCCTGCCTACCCACTTTGACCTTTTTAATGAGGATATGGTATTAAAAAGGGACAAGTTTCGTTCATTAACCTCGACAACAAAAAGTGCGGTCAGTTTTTAATTAAAAATTAAATAAAATATTATAAAAAGTGTCACTTATTTGATTTTTTAAATTTGCTATGAAAACGTTAACTTTTGACTATTTTATAGGCCTTACGCACGTTTCAAATCATTTAAATGCTAAAACAAAAGCCAATATTAACTTAAAAACTTCTGCTAATTGCGTTGACAATGCGACCGACAAAAACCTCATCCGTTTGGCGTTGGGCGTGGCACCGCCTTCTGTTAATGAACATCGATTTGGCCGCAGTCGGGCAATCGGGCTGCTGGTGAGCTCTGTGCTGAAAGCTGAGTGTGTCCCACAATCGAAATTGGAATTTAAATTGACTCATTAAAACGAGCAAAAAGCGGGTTGGTCGCACGACAATTAAACAAACGCGACGGCAACAATTCCTTCTCCTCTCCCTCCGACGCTTTGGCCCGCTAAGATGCCTAGCACCTAATATGGGGTCATTAGTTAATTTGCCAAATGGCTTCTGTTGGTTTGTGCCCTCGCCAAAGAGGATCTTGTGCATTCCTCATCAAGTTTGTCAAGCATGACAATTTTATCATCGATTGGTCATTTTTTCATTCAATCTTCCATTTGTATTTGCATATAAAACATAACACATTCATTTAACAACGAGATAGATTGTTGGATGTGCTTAACAGGATGCAAAGGGGTTGCCAAATTAAGTATTATTTTGTAGAGACTATCTTAAGACAAAGAATTTTGAGTAGGATAAATATGATGAACAATTTTAAGCTTTTATTTTGAACATTTAATAGATATAACCTTAAATAGTCTTCTCTGTGTTTGATTTACTATTCGTCTTAAGAAAATATATATTTAGTCAGCTTAGCGTATGTAGAATTGAACTTGCGATATTTTATATATTAAAAGAACTAAAATATATTTTAAATAGGTTTTTCGCTGGCTCCAGTTCAGGTCACCAAACAAAATGAATCGGACTAAAATATATAAAACTGTTAGCTATCTATATTCATTTGTTCATCAATATTCCGGAAATAATAAAGATCTATTCAAGAATATGGATCTCACACCTCAATGATATGGATTTAACGTCTCAAGAGCATGAATGCTTCGGCTAATCAGAGATATTTTGGGTTCGTCTAGTTCCTGCGTTTGTTTTCATAAGGTTGCCACTGTCAAGGACATTCACGTCCTTGTACTCCCAAAAGTTTTAGTCACCAGCGTAGTCCGCGTTAATTTATGTGCTCGTACACAAAGTTCCTGCGTTTCTGGGCTTCAGTAAGCTTTGGGTGCGTGTCGAGCCGCAATCTGCCCGAGACTATTAGATTTTATTGAGCCGCTGATTTACACAGCGCGCTTCAATTCAATTTTGGGCCAACGGGCGCAAGAGTGAGTAAGGGGGGCGAGACTCCCGCTACTAATCACGACTAACAAAACTTTATGTTCGTACCGGAGTAACTTAAAATTGGAATTTAATTTTCACACGTGAAAATCAATAAATGGCAAAGTGGGAGCCACAACGAAGGGCAGCTGCAAGAGCGACGACAACAAATACATAAATTACCTGCATAATTTCGTTACAATATTCGCTATGCAATTTCTATTAAGGTTTCCTTTTTTTGTGTTGCCCACTTTTTGCTCTGATACCATCATCCAACAACAAAAGGGGCGTGCCCTTTGGGTAGGCGGTCGTGTCCATTTTATTTACATTTATTGACCGCACGGACTGTCTGTGGCTGGTTGTGTTTTGGGTCTCCTGGGCTCTGTCTGGTCAGTATTGGGTAGTTGGTTGGTTGCTTGTGTGGGTGGATGGTTAGGCTTTCAAACAGTGTAATTTGCAGCACGTGTGAACAGTTTTCTATTAGGCTGCGAATGCTCGCGATGCCAGTGGCGTAAATGTGCAAACGGAAGTAAGCAAAACCGTAACGGAAGTGAATTGAAGTGCTGCGCTGCCTGGGATGGGTAATAGATATATGTATCTAGAAAAGGTACATTGAAGCCACCTTAAGTTGCCCGATTCTCGCTTGACAACTTAATTGGCTAACATGTGTTGGCTCACACCATAGACAGATAATAATCTTCTGAGAAACAGAAGAGCAGCATATATCGTTTGAAGTCCATCCATGTAGTGTAGATCGGCCAGAATAATGAAAAAAAAAAACAACACAAGTAAGAAATAGCGATCTTTCAAGGAGATGATTAGTAATCTACCGTCCAAGTTTGCCTTTCAAGGAGAAAGTTCCTTGTAATCTTTGTTTTAGTTTGGTAACTTTCACTTTAAATGATGTATTTCAGATTTCAATGATAAATTTGGTATGAGTTGCTATAGTTTTTCTGCTATTTCGCCAAAATTTAAAGCATTCATAACTTTTTCTTCTAACAAAACACCTATATCCCAATTTGCATTTTTGAAAATTAAAACAATAAATATTGATTTAAATTTATTTATACTTGCATAGTTACAATTTAAAATTGCTAATAGTCGATTTATATATATATATATATCGATTGTAGCAAGTTTATAGTTCTCACAATTATTTGATATTCAAATAATCGGTCGTTACAAATTGACAAGGTTGCAACATATGTCTGCCTTGGTGTAGAATTGTGGAGGTGGAATGTGTGTGACCCACATTAAAAATGGACATTTGGACTCCTGTGCAGTTTTGGTGGTTGGGGCAGCTGTCAGCGCGGTTTCCAATTATCCAAAACCCAAATGAATCCCAAAACTTGTATACAGAAGCATTTTTGCATACCACGCCCACAAATCAAAGGCAAGTTTCACTTTTCCTGTCAATTTTGCTTCAGTCCAAAGTTTCATGTGGTCAACCATTGGGTGGCTCGGTGTTTGGGTGATTTTTCGGGTGTCAGCCTGATTGCTGCTGAGTTGCCAGAAATATCTCTTGTATACTGTATAAATTTGATTTGCTAATGAGCCGAGTCGGAACTATAAATTAAATTTAAAATAGTTTTTTCCTCCGTGCAGCTTTTGTGGCTTATCAAGTGGGTGTTGGCCAACTGTGCCACTGTGGTAACTGTGGTTGCAAGTGCGAACCACCAGAGATGGGTTCGTATTTGAGCACCGGTTTTAATTGGTTCGGCAGGGAATGGAGTGTCCAACAAAATATATAAAATATAAAAATGAACACAATAAAAATAAAGCACTTTTTTTCTCTTTTCATCTTCTCGACTATGGAAAGTTTTCATAACCGATGATGCAGAAGAATTCCGAACAGAATTGATACTATCGTTCTTCCACCTATATTCGAATACACAAATTAACCAATACTTACCTTTAGTATCAGTGAATATTTAAAGCAAACACATATAAATGAGATATGGCAACTTGTTTCTTATAAGCCGGTAACATCATCCAAGTTAAATTCAAAATCGTTGTCAAAAAGATCACACAATTTTGTAATAATTAATTATTTTTATTTTACCATGTTCTTAATATTCTTATTTTTTGTCACAATTTCTATGACTTAGTTAATTGATTTATCATTATTTATGTATCGATTTTAATAGCCTAACACATTTTTAACTAAACTCTGTCATTAAATTCTGCTTAAGCGCAATGCGCTCTAACAATTTGCATTAACTTTACCATTTCTAGAATTATTCTTACTATGCAGGACATTGCCGATTTGAATCGGGCCACTCACACACAACTTAGCTGCATCTGCAGTTTCTCAATAAATAAATATACATACATACAAATACCACAAAAATCGAAAACTAAAACTAAAAACATTTGCTTTATACAACTTTTATATCTATGCATATATAGTTATTTATTTACAACTCGACCATGTTCACTTATATATCTACAATCTCTTTTATAATTTATTTGTATTTGTTTTGGGAACATTTTTGCTACAAATTATATTTTGCTACTAAAATTCAGAGTCTTTTTGAAGTTGCCTTAATCTTAATTATTATACTGTCTTTTTTCTTGTATTTTTGTTGTTGTATTAATTTGTATATATTGGTATTCTTATGCTTTAAACATATGAAAGTTTGAAGGATTTTCTAAAGAGACGTTACTTTGCTTTTCATTTTGGAAATACTTAAATTTGTTCAATTTCTTGGTTTATTCAGGAATTGGGATAAGCGACAATATTTTACCTACAGTTTTAGCTGCATTATTGGACAAGAAGATCCCCAAATGTTATCGACAACTTTTCGCTATCTTCTAAATCGCTTGTTGTGTTTTGTCTATGTCTACACAATATATTTGAACTGTGATGCCATATAAACAGCATTCCGTTATTAAATGGAACAAAAATAAAAATTATCTGTCCCTCAAACATTATCGATAGTTTATGGATGAACTATTTATCACCATGCTGATGGCTTCTGAATTCTAATCGACATACTTTTCTGAATGCTTTGTGATATGTTGCCCGTTGTACAAGGAATCCACGCATTTATACTAAAAAAACACTCTTCGATTATATTTCTGCTACCGATAAATATCGTTTAGTGTTATTTTTAATGAACTACTGTTTTTTTTACCTTTCAGAAGTTATCGATAGCTTATCGTTGAGTATTGATGATTTGAAAAAGATATGTTTCAGCTGGTATGTGAAAGCTCTGTGATGTAATATATTTGTAGAATATGATTTCTCACTTGATATTGAAATGGATATGTCTGGAAATCTACATGCAGAAGATTTGCAAGTTGTCATCATGAATCGAATTTAGTTATGCACAGCACCTTAACGGGAATTCAACTTTGTCATATGTATATATTGATATATGTATATATGTACATTCAACTACATACATACACGCAAGGTTTAGCTGACGATCTAGTCTAGTCTAGGTCTAGCTACATATATATATGTAGGTATGGATTTTAGTCCACAGCTATATTAGTTACCAAGTCTAGACATTGTTTTTGAGAACTTAGACACAGCTTTCGGGCACGCGTTGCGTCATTAGGCAATCCTTAATTGCATTTATGTTGATGTTGTCATCCAAGTCCTGCGACGAGTTGCAGGACGTGGTTGTTGTCGAGGTAACGCCCACGCCCATAACGCTGCCCACGCTGCCCAGCAACAGACTTGAGCCCGAGCCGGGCTGATGATGATGGTGCGCCTGCTGCTGCTGCTGCGGGTGATGATGATGGTGCTGTTGCTGTTGCTGATGATGATGATGACGATTCAGGGTGGCCGTATGACCCGTCGGATGATGCAGCCTGCCACTGCCACTGCCATAGGCATTCATTATATAGCCACCGCCGCTGCCCAGTCCGGGCGGCAATGTGCCAACGCCGCTGCTGTGCGCCGGCTGCAGATGCGCCGCCAGCGTCGCTGTCGACGAGAGCGATGTGGGCGAGCCAATGATGGTGCCGCCCATACCCAGTGTCAGCGGCTTACCAGCACCACCCACACCCAGGCTGCCCATTATGCTGCTACTGGGCGAAATAACGGTGCTGCTGCACCCGCCACCAACGGCGGCAACAGCGGCCAGCAGCTGCGCCCGCTGCGAATTGATCTGATTGTAGGTGATCGGCGGGGTCGAGGGATCGCCGGACGACAGCGCCGTTGTCGTCGTCATGGCCGGTGCCTGTGAACAGATGCGACAGTTAAAAGTTGCACACGCATTAAAGCCACTCAGCTAGAAGTATTCAGATTGTCAGCTGCAATAACTTAAAACCCCCTTTGAAACCAACCAAAATCTGAAACTGACGGCGGAAATTAGCATTTTATTTTACAATTTCAGTTAGCTTTTATGTTGAGCTTAGCTAGTCGACGAGTAAAGGCACTCTCAATTAAAAGTTTAAGCAAAAACAGGTAGAAAATTATTTAAAAATAAATTTGGAGTGTTAAAACAATAAAATAAAGTTTGTACTTAATCAAAATTATGTTTAACATTTAAATACTAAATTCTTAAAATTGAATTATTTATTCGTATATCTGAAAAAAAAAATTACAGCAGATTGCAAGCGAATTGTTAAGAAAATGAAACAATTTTTTTTTTAAATTGAATCAATCAATTATAAATTTGAAAAGAAGTCAGACTTAAATCAGATCAGCCCTCTTCAAGATAAATTAATTTTTTGATTTAGATCTTTTCTAAAAATCGGAAAATTTAAATTTAAATTGAAGATTAGTTCGAGTCCAAAGTCGAATTCCTTTAAGTTTTTAACAAGTAAAGTTGAAAAAAATATTTATTTAAGATGATAATTACAGGCGCTCTGTCGAAATTAAAGCAACATCGCAAGAGCCTGCGAAAAAAGTATTTTTCGGCCAGTTAAAATTGAAATTCTAATTGAAAATCTCTCGATGCAATTAAGAATTGCTGAATTGCGTTGCAAATTGCAGTTTTTGTGAAGCGAGTTGCAGATTTTGGCCATGCGTGGATGCGCCGTTGTGCCTGCTTGTGTTATGTTTGGCAATATTTAAAATTATTTAATAAACGAATTGAGTTACGTCAGACACTGGCCATGGCTGCAGCTCCTGTCTATGGTCAACGGTCTGCACCCACTGCCTGATGCTGATTTAAATCTAATTAAAATCAGCGCACCAAATTTTATTTCTGTATGCACTGAAATCATCCTTCGACCAACTAGGCAATATCGAAAACGGCTACATTCGAAGGTTTTTTGAAATATTTTATGGTTGTATTTTTTGTTAATAAGCATTTTTCATTGTCAAGTCAATGGATTGTGTTGTGTGGTTGGTTTTCGGCAATTTAGCGAAATATGTGAACAATATATAAATGTTCAATTAAACTGTGTCTGCTCGTGGCAAACGGTTTGGAGCGGTTCTCTAATCGCACTCGGAACAGCTTATGCTAATGCCAGGCATCTCGACTGTAGTCGCAAAATCCATAATTGAACTCTAATTGCAATAATACAGAATGACCACAGATGCTCCTATCTGGCATTTATAATGCAATGCAGACACGAATTATACTCCAAATCAAATATGAATGGTGTCGAGAATCTAATTTATGCATTTATTAAAATCATAATTGTAAATATATTTAAGTCTTTTATTCTTGTTTTTTGTTTGTTTGTTTCGAAAGCTTTATTTTGCGGTTTAGCCTTTATCAAACTGAATCGAACTTCAAATAACTCGGTGATACAATATATGTAGTATTCTAGTCTTATTATATTAATTCAGTTTATTCAGATATGTTTATGGTGGCTATTTCAATGCCATATCTGATGTCATATGCATATAAACATATCCATATGTGGCAACTTGGAACAGTTGCGATTTTTATTATATTTTAAATAAATATATTTTTAAATAAAGTTTTTTTTTTTAAATTGTCGCCCACTTTTGTATGCTAATTTAAGTATTTTAAGGTTGGATTAAGAAACTCAGTTGTTTCCATCTTCCCTCTATACACAACGTGAGGCACACACATGTTGCATATTCAATCACTTCACTGATTTAAGGACACGGACGTATTCTGTGTCCCCCCTCCCACACATCTCCACTATTCCACAACACCAGCTTGTTAACCGTAGCAGCCAAAGAATGTTGAGCAATATAAATACTGAAAATATTGATTGATTATGGGTAGCTCGACATGATGTATTGCCCTTAAAAGGAGAAAAGGGAATCTTGCAATTACCTTGTCGCTGAATGTGGCTGTGGCTGTGGTTCTGTGGTGGTGGATATTGGCTCGTTGCAATACAAAAGTGCTTGCCGCATTATACTCGGATTTAGCCAATGGCTTTTATTTATAACTGCTGCTGGTCGGGGAGCAGTCGTGCCACAAGACGTGCGCTCTGACAGTTTAAAAGCTTTTTTTAATAAACACCCCTTTGGTATGCTTTGGGGTTTGTGTTTTGCGGGTTCTGCGGGTTTTCGATTCAAATTGGAATTTGAGACCCGTGCTATGGTTACCCAGAATTTTGTTTAGCAATTTTGCAATTTCGGCATTTGATTGGTTTTAGTGTGAAAAACAGAATGCCAGATAAAAGAAAAAAACCGGTCCAAAAACAAAAATATAAAAAAGAATGAAAACATGAAAATTGTCAACGTGGCTAATAATAACCGAAATTGACAAGTAGCAGATATCGTTTCCTCGTTTCCAATCAAATGGCAATGCAAATGTGGAGCCAATCCCTCTTTAACAATTTATTTATTATTTTACCCACTCGTCCACTGTTCAAACTGGGTAAGCCTTTTTAATTATATTTCGCAATGTTTGATAGTATTGAAACTTTGATTCCTTTCACATAGAACTGTTAAAGTTTATGAAATTATTAAGTTCAATCACTAAGCAATGTCCATAATAATAAAAGAGATAGCTTGGTAATTAATATACGTAATTAGCCAACATAAAAATGGTTAAACTTTCGAAATAAGGAACAATTAAAGTAAAAACAAATAAACAGCAAGAGAAAAAATAAAGAAGCAACGTTTCCGCTTATAATAAAATATAATAATTATTTACACTTCTTCTTCTTCTTATTTAGTTGTTCGGTGATAAACAAAAAAAAAAAAAAAATAATTACACTCTTTTTGTTGCCCATCTCTAATACTACATTTTGGAGGCGTACTTACACTGCCATTGGGTGACCATTTGGAAATACTGCCAACGAGTCCAACGCCGGATGGCGTCGCTGCTGTTGCTGTTGCAACAGTGGAAAACGGATGAGCATCGCGGTCCGTTGGGGGCACAGCTGTGGCAACCGCTGTCGATGTGCTGCTGCCGGTGGCTGTGCCGGCAGTGGTGCTGCCCACATTGGAGGCATTGCTGCCACTGCTGCCGGCGCTGCTGCCGCCAACTGTGTGATTGAAATTTATTGATGAGTGTCCAAGTGGGCGACCGAGTGAGAGTCCGGTGGCCATGCGATGATGTGGTTGCGTTTTAGATTGGCGGATGCCATCGTTAAAAATATTTACGATTAAAAGAAAATTGCATCCGTTGATTGGATTATATTGGAATGGTTTCATTTGGTTTGGTGCGGTTCGGCGGGGTTCGAATTGGATTGGTTAGGGTTCGCAACATGTTCAGATTGTCGGTCGTATTGTTGTGTTGATGAGATTGATTACGATTACGGGTCACCCGAACAGCAGGAAGCGACGATGCGCGATAGCAAGACACATGAAAGTAAATGTCAGAAAAGTGACCATTAAAATTTGATTAAAGTTTAATGCTCAAAGTGCACGTTGCCTCACTATAAAAACCAGTGTGATTGTGACGAACTCGACAGTAATGTTATCTCACAACTGGAAAATTGTTTATTCGTATACTGAAACCTAAATACTCTTAAGCTTAGACATCATATCCCATCCTATCCTACCTCAATTGAAATTCTCAATTGCTATCATATAATGCAACTGGTAGATTATATTGAAACCTAAATAGTCTGGGACTAAAAGAATTCATCACAATCATCTTCGCTCTTTGATTGATGTTCGTGAGAGAGAAAGAACTTAATCGAATTTAAATTATTGCTGCATTCCAATTTTAACAATTGATATTTTAATGCTATCTTTGATGATAATTCATTGACAATTTTATAAGTAAATTGTCGAATTGGCCTATTTCTTATAAATTGTAGTTTTAAACAGATATTTTTCTCATCCATCACTGTCAAGCACATAAAAGTCAGCAAAGCTATCGGAAAAACTTTTTATGCATTACAAAAATAACTTGAAAGTTACGACTTACCATATTGTGAGGGTATAACATCTGGATCACGTTCATCCTCAACCAAATCCTCCGATGATTTCGTTTTTATATCCGTATGCTGCCAGCGCGGTTTCTCCAGGTTGCCACTCTGCAAAGTGCCGCCAGGAACATTATTAATTGCATTTGAATCTCTGATAACTAAAAAGATGAGGGGGAGGTGAGGTGGGTCAAGTTGGTGCACTCACCTTAAAGACATCACCCGCTTGGACGACGACACCAGCAGCTGTTGCCTTGTTGCCATGCTGCCGATTGCGTCGCAAATTGTGCACGAATGTTACCACAAATATTCGTATCGCGATGGCCAACCCAATGATTATGATGGTCAGAACGCTGCCAACAATCACCGGCGACAGGGCCAGTGTTACATCGTCATCTGTTATTGTTATCGTTGTTGTTGTCATCGGTTATTGTCGTAATTACAGGTTGACAATCGACAGTCATAAATCATAGCCGTCGTCGTCGTCGTCGTCGGTTTTAGATAGATTGTCATCACATATCGCAAATATTCCACATATATCACGATTGTTTGATTGCATTCAGTTTGAGTTGGAGTTTGTCGTTCGACAGTTTTATTTTTAGGCGCGTTGTGTTAACGATATGCAAATGAGAGGAATCAGGAAAAGTGGGCGTGAGTTTATTTCAACAAATAACGTGCAACTGCACAGTGGTTCAAATCATTCAATATATGCAGTTAAATGCGAATACTCCACTTACAACTAAGCTTGAGATACATTTTAAACTAATATGTTTAAGCTATTTAGAATGAGGTTTAAATTGGTAAACGTTTAAAGAAAGATTTCCATTTTAATAGGAGAAAATGGCAAACATAGTTTGTGGCATATTCTTAATATATTTTCTGATTATAATCTCAAACTTATTATTATACTAAAAGAGAAATTAATGGAATGGTGGCTTCAAAAGGAAACTGTAATATTTTAGAATTCGTATTTACTTGTTCAACTTATAAGTTACTAAACCATTGAGTACGATTATTGTCTCTCAACGGTGAGAAAATGTATTTGGAATGATCAAAATGTGTAGATTTGTTGAGCTGCGTGAAATCAATGTGTCAGATAACATTCGCTGCTGCAAAGCAGCTGGCACGTCAGAAAGTAAGTTTACAAATATGTATTTTGCAGCAGCGAGAGTCAGGCCATAAGGCAGACATGTTGATTTTGTAAGTACTGCGGATGACTCTGGTACCTGTCAAATGTCGCCACCATATGTGAAGGATGTGGAAGTCAAGGCAAGTATGAAGCCCTGACTTGGGATTAAAACATGAAATCAGTGAAAAGCAGCTGTATGCAAGGATGTGGGATGTTGGAAGAGGGTGGCCCAAGGCTGCTCTCACTACCAGACGTCATGTGTCAAATGCAAGCAGCAGCCCTACAATTTCCATCCATCAATCAAGCCTATCCTGCTATGGCCAATGTGTGTATGTGTATGTGTGTCTGCGTGCGCCAGTGTGTGTGTGTGCCACTCACCTGTCTTGTAAGCTGTTGAGCCAATTATGAAATCGGGCAACAGATATGCCGCACTGCGTCCCTTTTGATTGTAGGAGTAAATGCGCAGCCTCAGCGAGTTATTTTCCTGCATCATCATCGAGGTGAGCGTATCCAGATTCTCTAGTGAAAAGAGCGCCTCCTCTGCATTGCTTAAATTAAATCTATAAAAAAAAACCAAAACAAAAATAGAGGGACCGCAGAATATTATTATATTTATTTGTGTAGTATGCCAAATCAATAGATCTGAGCCTTTAATCATGTGCAATCAAATGTCAGCTTGTCACAAAACCCCTTTTTTCCAAAATATTCGTATTTTTGACAGCTTACGCCTTTTGTATTTTCGCCTTGGACTATGGACCCAACCCCAACTTCAGCTCAACTCAAACAAAACCGAAGCATTTCTCCAATCATGACCTCAATTTAAATTTGATGCCTTTTGCCTTGTTGCGGCTTTCACTTGTCTTTCGTCTCCTGTCTCTTGTCTATCGTTCGCTTTTGTTTCTGGTGTGCCAAGCTCTGAAATATTAGGGTTCAATGTCTATATAAATTTAACATCATTTTTTCCATCCAAAAGATGCCCTTGCTACGAATGTTTGAATTCTGTGCTCTGATATGTAACTCATTGAGAAAGAGTTTTTTTATAAGCAGAAGTAAGATGGGAATTATGCTGAGTTGAAATAAATATCTGACTATTTATTCGAAGTAGTCTCTCAGTTGGACCAAGTTATTAAATCATGGTATATATCTTTCTTCCCTATATTTAACATAGAGAGTATTTGAACTTCGTCATGCCAATGCGAACTCTGTTTTCTTATTCCCCAGATGCCATTTGGTTTAACAAACACTTTGAGCATTGATGACGACGTTTGTTGCGTTTTGGCGCAATCTTTTTGAATGAGGGTCCTTTGATATTATTATTTTTTTTTTTTCGTTTTTGGGCGACAACTGCCAAGTATTCTCCCCTGGGTCTGAGCATTGTATTAATAAGTAATATTTATTAAATGTTGCTGGTTGTGTTTTCCTTGCCAAATTTATACAATGCGGTCGCATAATGCTATGTGTGCATATGAATCCGATTTGATTTCGGGTTTGGGCCCCAATAAAATGCGCATTTTTTAAACACCCATTTGACATGCATATAAATGGTTGATTTGCGCTGGCAATTTTATTAGGGGGAGAGAACAGAAACTTGACCTAAAGCGTCCTCTTTCACGCCTAATTGCACGCTCCCTGCTCAAGGACTGTGCAGAAGTCCATAATTATGCTTATGAGTTAAGCACACACACACAATCACAGGTAGTCTGTCTACCAATGTCCGTCCGACTGAAACTGATATTGAATATTATGCTGCTGGTATCTCCTTGAGGCAGCTGTCACATGCAGATAGTAGATGTTTACTTCGGAATGTGTGTGCGTGTGTGTGGATGTGTGGGTGTGTGAACATACATATGTATGTAAATGCACATAATGTATGTACATGCACATTAACCTACTGTATATTATGTATTTAAGAAGCACAATAGGTCGAAATATAAGGAATATGCAGGATCAGCAAACATTAAGCTCTTAAATGATTATCTTCATCGCCTTTAATTCATTAATCCGTACCATAATATATATACCTGTTACTAATCTATACCCAAATCTATAGATATGTCACTATCCTAATGAAATTATCTTTTTAACTATTAATAACTGTACTAAATCCTGAACACTAAATTTAACTACAGCAAATGGGTAGCCAGCTTGGAAAAGCGAATTTCCGATTCACTTTGGTTAACCAAGGTAATTTTACATCTCTTATTTGGCATATGCTGAAAATCTGAGACTGGAGGCTAAGCAAAGTTCTGCAACAAATATAATCCGATTAAGTGTGTCAGTGTGTGTGTGTGTCCAGTTTTCGGATTATATCGTGTATGTAGCTGATTAATATGCTTACCTGGTAATGCCGGTGCGTGTTGAATACATTTCGAGTACAAATATTTGGGGCAGGCCGCCATCATAGCCGGGTATGCATTGTATGTCAACATTCAGTTCAGTCCGATTGAAGATGCTGCAATTGCTGACACAATTGGGCAAAGCTGTGTATGTATGTATGAAAGTGTGCCAGTGATCGGATTCGGATTTAAATTGTCCAATTTTTGCAGGAAGAGAAAAGAAAGCGCGAGAGACAGAGGGAGAGAGAGAGAGAGGGAGAGAGAGATTTAAATGTTTGTAATATTTTATTTTACTTTTGTTGTTGTTGGTATAATCAAGCAAGTAGCCTGTTTGTTTCATGCTATCTCTGAGTGCGACTCTGAGTGTTTGCATGTGTCCTTAACTTGTTGAGGTTAAATGGTAAACACGCACAGTTACACAGCCAGTTGAACAGTTCACTTAAAGGTAGTTATTCTGTCAAGCAATTAAATCGTACTGGTATTTATTTGCCAGAGCCTTGGCCACTAAACAACTTAAAAAACAACTAAGTAAACAAAATAAAAGGATCTGTATATTATTAATAAATTTCTTCACTTATTCATTGGTGAAGTAATTGCTAAAATTAAATAAGCCTTCTTATTGGTAATTACAGTACTGAACTTGAAAGAGAAAACATAATAACGAAATGAATTATTTGATGTGCATATTAAATAACCTATAATCAGGTAACATACAATTAATTAAATATTTATTATATCAGAGAAAATGTCTCAAACGAAATTAATGTTAATTAATTAATGTTAAAATAAAAAAGTTATTCAAATTCCTTATCTTATATGCAATTGTATTACTTTACTTAATATAATAAAGAGTTTTTGTAAAAGAAAATAAAACACGATTTTAATTATGTATCATACAAATAATTGAATTTTCTTGAATGTCAGAAACTAAAGTGAATGCAAGACCTACGCAGATTAATACATGAGGTGAGTACTCAATAAAAAGGATACGCTTGAACAGAGTTCTTTATTTAAATAATATACTATCTCATATATTCATTGGTTAATTAATTAACCGATTAAGAAACAAAGTGAAGTCAATTTCCTACCTTATCCTTATTAGTAAATAACTTTATTAAAAAAAAAAATAGTATACTACATTCTTTTTTTACTTATCAAATAAAGGAGGAACCAAAGAAATAATTGTATATTTTATAATAGTATATTAAATGAATACATGACCCAAGTAGGTGTCTACATCGTTGGCTATGAGACGAATACTAATTAAAATGGATAAGTCTTCTGTGCGGTTACCTGCTAAAACCACTTGAAAGAGACAGGGCTGCTGTTGGGTGCCCACCTCGTTGGCCGCCCAGCAGGATAGTGTGCCGTAATCCTGGAAGTACATAAATGCATATGTATTGTCGGCGCTGTGTGTCGCTTAATTGGTTGGATGTAGTTATTTACCTGATCTGTGACCGGAGTGTACTTTAAAATGCTGCGGCTTCCATTCACGCTGAATCGTTCGCTGCCCACGTCCAGAGTTTCACCCGAATTGTTGAATTTCCAGCGGAATGTTCTGCACATGTTTGTTGTTTTTTAATTTTTTGTTTGTTTTTTATGGTTGTTGTTTGCGTTGCGTTGACATTTTGACAGTTACGTTGTCAGTGGGACACGCGTGCAGAAGGCAGAAACATCAGTCCAGACGAAAGGCATATCGGACCAGAGACAGGCAGCAAGTGAGACATGTTTGGAAAGTTTTAAATTTTTAAAACACCTCGTTAAAATATTAAAGGTTAAACACACCCATACAAGCACAAACAAGCACTGACACCCGCACACACACCCGCACACACACCCGCACACACAACGTCACAGTCGCACAGTGGCACAGTCGACTGGCAGAGTTAAAGAGTCAAGTTCTCTCGCACACGGAAAGCCTATTAAAAGGTTAATTATCTCTGGCACATTCGGTTGAACGCGTTCGTTTTTCTCGCTGCCTACAGTAAATTGAAAATGCTGATAAATAACTAATGCTTGTACATATGCCGACATATATGACAACAACAACGTGTTATCAAACTGCATATTAACTAAATGAAATCAATAATTCTCTGCTCATGAAAAAACCTGTTTAAATATGACAGAAAAATCGTTTCAAAGTATTTATTATCAAATAGATTAATAATTATATATTTTATTTTTTTATGTTATTGAAAATTATAAAAGTACAAAAGGTACTGCATATAAAAAATTGAGCCAATTTGGTTAGCTGCTTTTAAAATCAATTTGCTCTTCCCAATCGTAAATGGATCTTTCTTGCACTTTCACTTTTTTCCAATAATTTACCAGATTTTTCACTTATTTTTTTTTTAAATACTTTGGTGGCGCAAGCAGTAATTGATTTGCATTTTTCGCAACATGATACTTTAATTTAAAAGCGTACAAAAAATACGAAAATCAAAGGAAAAAAATATCTAGCATCGCTGTCAAGCAGTTAAATGCTGATAAATTAACTTGAAGCCGCCCTCACGGGCAAGCCGGACCAGTTTGTGGCTCCTATTCCCCCTTTAAAGCAACCAGCAGCTTTTTAATGTTCACGCTGCGCAACGCCCCTCTGCTCTGCCGCGCCCCTCACTTTGCTACCACAACAATTACACGACGCAGCTGCGCTGCCAACGGCAACAACGCGCATATTTTGTGCCAGCTAATGATTAATTATTTTAGCATAAAGCGTCAACTCAAGACGCAGCCACAGACAATAACAACAACAGCAGGAAAAAAAAACCAAATTAAATACGAGACAAGCCAGCTGGACAGACACTCAGATAGGAAGAGAGGAGAGAGACAGAGAGTGCGAGAGAGAGAGAGATAGAGAAAGAGACAGGGGGATTGAGTTGGACAGACAGACAGAGAAAAGCATAAAGTCGCTGTAGTGGCTACAGCGGCGGGAGGTGGCTCATTAAAAAAACATTAAAGTGGAGCAAATGTGGCAATGTGAATTAACAGAGTCCAGCAGTGAACACACACATACCCACACAGCCATAAAAGCCTCCCCCAGAATCCCTTAGCAGCAACATCAGCTGTGCATTTAAAATATAAATTAAAGTGCTCAAATGGAGGATGTGGACTGAGGCGACTCTTTGAAGTGCCGCCAAATCAAAAATGTTGTTGAATTTCAGCACATTTCCTAACATATAAACAGCATTTTCCGTTACACATACACATGCACACACAATTACACTCATTTGTCAATTTAGCAAACTTCCATTCAACAGGAAACCGGAAGCAATTGCCAACAGCAAAGGGGAAGCGCCTACACAGGTCTACGAGGCCTGTCACCACCTATTTTTTTATTTTGTTTTTTTTTTAATGGTTTCTTTTGTGTTGGCTCTTACCGTGGCGGTGGATCCGCTTGTATTTCACATATGACCTCAACAGTCTCATCCTTGGAGGCACCAATTAGTATAACTCGATCCGTGTGCTTGCAAACAGGCGTGTCTTAAGAAAGGGTGGAAAAATGAAAGAAAATACAATTAATCGATTAAGCATGATAAATTAAGAAATACCCCCAAAATAATATACTAAGAATGTCGTAAAAACTAAAGCTGTAATCTATGTGATCAACTCGAATTTTAATGCTTCTATATAATCACTAAGCAGACAATACAATATATTGTATGTATACAATGTACTGCATTGTATATTGTATACATACAATACACTGTCTGCTTAGTGGTGGCACTCAACGGGCGACTGACACACTGTCTACTATCAGCGCCACAAACACAAATTGTCGTTCCCGTGCATGCAACAGAAGCCAACTGCAGAGCCGACAACTGTTAGCTAAGAATGGCCTAAAAGAATAACATTTGTATCAATAAAACTTGTACATTGATTGCGGGCTACACTAAAATGGAACGGTGCTGCTGCAGGTATTCTAGAAAAAATTGTCAAACATCAAACATCGTTGAGAGGCGCAGTTTTGTAATTAAAAATTGGAGTGTTTCTGAATAGCTGAACAGATCAGAGCTCAATATGCAGTTAATTAGGGCGAGATTTGTCAAGATTTTACTCTTTATCATATCCATAAAAATATTTTTACTACTCATATTCATCAGCTACTACGATTCTGATCAGCCCAGTCGGCGATCTAAACGAATCGTTCTTATCAATGAGTTGTTGATTGACAAGAGAAATGGTAAGAAACCAATTACCTAATTTCATCACTTTGATATTAACCTAAATACTATCGTTTTAGAGCCCAGCTGGGAGCAGAAATTGAAATTCACACGAGAGGAGATGCCCTCGTTCCCGCTGGAGGAACTGCTGCGTAGACCCTCTACTGAGCCCAATTGCGGAAAAGTTCCCAGTTCTTTGGCCATTGATTTCAGCAACGACTATTGGCAGACGGTTCACATAGAGAACCTGACATATCATCTCTTTGGTGCGTACTATGACAACAGGGAGAAGATTACAGAGGCGCCGCTTGTCCGAGTTTTATCCATGATTAATAATTATGGCGATCGGGATAAGGTCAAGTATCCCGACTCCTATTGTCAAATGTGGTTCAAGAATCGCGTGGATCCAGTAATTGCTAATGTAAGTGATCATAAGATTATTTGGTATTTTTACGGTACCGCGGAAAGGCATGTCTTCCCGACGCTTATCAGCTGCCCCCTGCCCAAAACGGAAAAGGAGGTACCCGAAATGGTGTCCCTGGTAGCCCAGCGCTGTGACAAGGCGAGAAATCTGCTGCGGGTCATTTACGAACCTGATGTCAAAACGGTCGCCATGCCACAACAGAAGGATCAGGAGATGAAGGATCAAGATAACTCAAGAAAGCCCCTGCGCTTTATGGTGTGCGTAAAAACTTTGGACTTCCCCTACAAGGACATGTCTTGGCGTCTGATTGAATGGCTTGAACTAATGCGGCTGATGGGTGTCAGTAAGGTGGTCTTCTACGATGGCCAGATTCATCCGAATATGACGCGTGTGATAAACGATTATGTAACCAGCAGTCCGGGCTTTGTCGAACTGCGCCCCTTGTCGATGGGTCGGGGAGAACCGCACACGGGAAGAAATTTTCATCACTATGCGATGGCTGCAGACGCCTTCAATCGCATACTCAACGAGATGATACCATACAACGACTGCTTCTACCGCAACATGTACAAGTTCGACTATGTAGGCGTCTTCGATACCGACGAAGTCATCATGCCGCTGGGCAATATTACCAAATTGTCGGATCTGATCGAGCTGGCACACAAGGTGCCCGACTATGAACGAGATGCGACGAATTGCACGACATGGGCTTCCTTCTGCTTTCGCAACGTTTACTTTCCCCTTTATCCGGAGAGGCCAAAGTTCTACAGGAACCTTCCCAGCTTCTATTACATGCTGCAGCATGTGGAACGCGTTGCGGAACACTGTGATCGCTATTCGGCCACAAAATGTTTTCACTCCACGCAATTTGTTGTTGGTCTACATAACCACTTTCCGATCTTTTATGCACAAAATGGTGAATGCGATCCAAAATCTGTGCCAATTGAGTTCGCCCAGCTGCACCATTATCGGGAGCCGGACAATAAGACGCGCCTCCTCAATCCCGTTGTGGATGACAATATCTGGCGTTTCCAGCCGCAGTTGCAGCAGCGTGTCTATTCCAAATATGAGAAGCTCGGGTTTTTGCCTGACATTCAACAATGGATCGACGCGGAGAATCGACGTCGTAAAGACGATGAGCAACAACTTCACGCAGCAATTTTTAAGACATAGATATACTAGACCTCATATCATCTGCATACACTCTACGAAACTCGATTAAAGGCACTTTATTTTTTCCTAATAAAATGGAAAATAACATTTTATTTTCTGTTCCACTAAAGTTGGCTGTTTTAAATAAATGTCAATTAAAAAAGTAATTAATTTTGTAACATTAACATAATTTGTTTTATTCATTTTTTTAACGATAAATTCGTTTAACGGTAGTGCTAGTAAAATTAATATAATTTGTAGAAACATATACACAACTGCAGAGCCGACAACTGTTAACTAACAGAGTTGTATTTGAGAGTTTGCCCATCGATGATTGATTTTGCAGCTATGCACATACATATGTATATCCAAAAATATAGCGAGTGAAGGGCAGCGTTAAGATCGTTAATAAAAAATCGACAAAGTCCCTAGTACCTAAAGTGGTAAAGTTGTCGGTGCGTCGAGGAAATAAGTCGTTATTTTATAAAGTCGAACATTACGTTGTAAATCCAATACTTACCCTTCACTGTAATATACTTATGACCATTATATATATATGATAAAAATGACATGATCCACATATATATATATATAATAAAATTTGTTCTTAAAATTACATATCTGCTTATTTGATTTCTGTGAAATTCTTTACTACTCGAGCAACAATGTGCGTAAGCCAGAGTTAAATAATTTATAAACAAAACTCAAGATTATCGCTTGACCTAGTAAAGAAGTTAAGTGTACTAGAGTAAGTAAAACTATTACTTTGACAGAGATCAGTGTTAACAGAAAACACTTGTATCAATAAAACTTGTACATCGACGTCAACGCACCAAGATAGCATAGGTTGCGGGCTACACTAAAATGGAACGGTGCTGCTGCAGGTATTCTAGAAAAAATTGTCAAACATCAAACATCGTTGAGAGGCGCAGTTTTGTAATTAAAAATTGGAGTGCTTCTGAATAGCTGAACAGATCAGAGCTCAATATGCTGTTAATTAGGGCGAGATTTGTCAAGATTTTACTCTTGATCATATCCATAAAAATATTTTTACTACTCATATTCATCAGCTACTACGATTCTGATCAGCCCAGTCGGCGATCTAAACGAATCGTTCTTATCAATGAGTTGTTGATTGACAAGAGAAATGGTAAGAAACCAATTACCTAATTTCATCACTTTGATATTAACCTAAATACTATCGTTTTAGAGCCCAGCTGGGAGCAGAGATTGAAATTCATACGAGAGGAGATGCCCTCGTTTCCGCTGGAGGAACTGCTGCGGAGGAACTGCTCTACTGAGCCCAATTGCGGAAAAGTTCCCAAATTTTTGGCCATTGATTTCAGCAATGACTATTGGCAGACGGTTCACATAGAGAACCTGACATATCATCTCTTTGGTGCGTACTATGACAACAGGGAGAAGATTACAGAGGCGCCGCTTGTCCGAGTTTTATCCATGATCAATAATTATGGCGCTCGGGACAAGGTCAAGTATCCCGACTCCTATTGTCAAATGTGGTTCAAGAATCGCGTGGATCCAGTAATTGCTAATGTAAGTGATCATAAGATTATTTGGCGGTTTGGCGGTAGCGAGGAAAGGCATGTCTTCCCGACGCTTATCAGCTGCCCCCTGCCCAAAACGGAAAAGGAGGTACCCGAAATGGTGTCCGTGGTAGCCCAGCGCTGTGACAAAGCGAGAAATCTGCTGCGGGTCATTTACGAACCTGATGTCAAAACGGTCGCCATGCCACAACAGAAGGATCAGGCGATGAAGGATCAAGATAACTCAAGAAAGCCTCTGCGCTTTATGGTGTGCGTAAAAGGTTTAGACTTCCCCTACAAGGACATGTCTTGGCGTCTGATTGAATGGCTTGAACTAATGCGGCTGATGGGTGTCAGCAAGGTGGTCTTCTACGATGGCCAGATTCATCCGAATATGACGCGTGTGATAAACGACTATGTAACCAGCAGTCCGGGCTTTGTTGAACTGCGCCCATTGTCGATGGGTCGGGGTGAACCGCACACGGGAAGAAATTTTCATCACTATGCGATGGCTGCAGACGACTTCAATCGCATACTCAACGAGATGATACCATACAACGACTGCTTCTACCGCAACATGTACAAGTTCGACTATGTAGGCGTCTTCGATATCGATGAAGTCATCATGCCGCTGGGCAATATTACCAAATTTTCGAATCTGATCGAGCTGGCGCACAAGGTGCCCGACTATGAACGAAATGCGACGAATTGCACGACATGGGCTTCCTTCTGCTTTCGCAACGTTTACTTTCCCCTTTATCCGGAGAGGCCAAAAATCTACAGGAACCTTCCCAGCTTCTATTATATGCTGCAGCATGTGGAACGCGTGGTGGAACCCTGTAATCGCTTTTCGGCCACAAAATGTTTTCACTCCACGCAATTTGTTGTTGGTCTACATAATCACCTTCCATTCTTTCGTGCACAAAATGGTGAATGCGATCCAAAATCTGTGCCCATTGAGTTCGCCCAGCTGCACCATTATCGGGAGCCGGACAATAAGACGCGCCTCCTCAATCCCGTTGTGGATGACAATATCTGGCGTTTCCAGCCGCAGTTGCAGCAGCGTGTCTATTCCAAATATGAGAAGCTCGGGTTTTTGCCCGACATTCAACAATGGATCGACGCGGAGAATCGACGTCGTAAAGACGATGAACAACAACTACACGAAGCTATCTTTAAGACATAGATTATAGAATACTCATATCATGTACGCGCAATCTGCGAAATTCGATTAAAGGCACTTTGCAAATAACAATTAAACAATTTCTGTTGTTCCACTGAAGTTAGCTGTTTTAAATATATGTGAATTAAAAAAGGAAATATATTTGTAACATTAACATAACTTTTTGTATACATGTTTTTATGCGAAATTCGATTAAAGGCAGTGCTAATTAATTTAAAATTACATGTAGAAACCGAAACACAACTGCAGAGCCGACAACTGTTAACTAACAGAGTTGTATTTGAGAGCCGACAACTGTTAACTAACATAGTTGTATTTGAGAGTGTGCCCGTTTGCCTATCGATGATTCATTTTGCAGCTATGTACATATATCAAAAAATGTATTTATTAATTTTTTTATTTATTTATTTACAAAAAGTAAGAAAAATTTAAACTAAATTAAATGTATGATCAAATTTAAAACTATATGTATAAATTAAAAAATAAGAAATATTTATAATATTTGTGGGGGTATTGATATGCAAAATGGTCCAAGATTTGTTGCGTGAATTGCGGAAAACTCAGAAAAAAAACCCAATCAGACCAAAAAATAATTAGTATCAATTAGCTAAATCCCACCACAGGTACATGCGAAAAAGTTATTCACGAGACAAGATGTGTAAAATTGAGTTCTCAATTTTAGAAATTTAGAACTCTGAATTGATTACGTGATAGAGTCTGTTGTAATCATTACAGATTAATCGCAACGGTTGATGCAAGGAATAATTGGTAGTACAACGACTAAGAGAAAGTGGGGAAAAGTGACGGTCTAGAGGGAACAGAAAATGTATTTGGCTCATCAACGCAGCTGAATCGATTTCACCATTAAGTAATTCAACTACAAACGTAACACCTCGCATAACACGACGATTAGTTAAAGAGGGAGGGTTAATAAGGAGCAGTCTATTGGTATAAGAAGGCAATACGCCCTAGCCAAAGCGACGAAAAGAAAAAAGTAAAAAGCTCTTCTGCACAGATTCCAATCTACTTTAATGATTATGATATTGTGGAGACCACATACAAGATACGTATTCCAGAATTAGACGTACAAGAGAAGTGATGAGTATCTGAGTCGTATAAGGGTCATCAAATTCCAAATTCACCAACGCTTAATAAAACCAAGAACTGGAAATGCTTTGTTGACAGTGAATTTAATATGCCTATCAATTTTGAACCGATGATCAACAAGTAAACCTAAATCATTTACTTCATTCAGTCTATCAAGTGGCCTCCCATTGAGCGTGTAACTAACAATATGAGGAGAGATACGATAAAATGACATGAGCTTTCACTTAGAGCAGTTTAAAAGCAGGCTCAGTTGATCGTTTCTGCTTAAGCGCGTTTTTAGAGAGTTTTACACTTTTAAACTGATTCTCCAATGCATCAAAATCAGCTCTGAGCCTACTGAATGCTCGACGAAGATCATTGAAGCCCCGTCTAGTTTGCCTCATAAAAACCTGGATATCGGACTCCGCATCACGGCATCGCTCGCATCACCACTTTAACCCCGACTTGCTGCCAATTATATTCCTTACCCGTTGCGTGAAACCAGCACATTTTACGTGTACTACGTTGTTACATAGTTCTTGCAGTTTTTTAAGTATCACGACATATTTGATGAAAAAATTAATATGCTCGGAAAAGAAGATACGAAAGATTCGGCACTGCACAGAGAATTTAACAAACACTAAAATGGCACAGCAAGATAAAATATGAAGACAAAATCGTTCGACAGCTAAATCAACAACACGCATAAACACAGTTAGGAGAGCAGATAAAAATCACAATACCAACAACAATACACCGCGATCGAGACTGCAATGTGTATAAGCAAGTTACTTTTTATATTAAAACGTTCCACGCTACTAAGAGAGCGAGAGAATAAAGCACACACAAAAGCAAAACTCATCTGTTAACCGCGCACTGTAAATATTTACGAAAAAAAACTTTTATGATTTGCTAATCAGGGAGATTGCTGACAGAAAACTCAAAATGAGCAAAGCATAGACAGAAACAGTAACAACAACACAAGTACAGGGAAACAAGACAGTTATTTTATTATATTAATCAAAGAAAAACAGCAGAACGAGACAGCCGAGTTCGTGAATAGATCGTCATAAGAAGTCGACAAAGTCCCTAGTACCTAAAGTTGTAAGGTTGTCGGTGCGTCGAGGAAATAAGTCGTTATTTTATAAAATCGAACATTACGTTGTAAACGGCAATCGTATAGACAAGGCGCCATCTTTAAAATCATAGCCTCACACACCATCCAATCTTTCCAGAACCACAATCTACCTCCACATCTCACTCCGGGCCGAACTAAGATGTCACTGGAACCATACCGAGAGTCAACCTGGCTGAGGGCACGGATCAAATAGCTCAGTCTCGAACGATTGGCTCAGGCAAATGGCAGCCGCCTGTTCTAATTAGCCTTACCCGAGTATCTCTCTTTTAAAATACAGTTGTTAAGAATGTCGCAAGACAAATGAAGGACAGAACCCTGGATGGGGTAAGGTTTTCACATGTGGTAGACCATCCTCCACATCGTACTACTCAAGCAACAAATAGGAGTGTGCCACTGGCGCAGCAAGGAGAGGTCAATACGAAAATGCTATCGAAATTGCAAGTAGGTAGGGGCCTGGACCCAACTACTAGCAGGTGGATACTCCCACTTCTAGGGTCCAGACAAGCCGCGGCATCAGCGCATGACAGAACTGTAACAGTCATAACCACTATAGGATGTCCCCAAGGGGGAGTATTGTCTTCGCTACTCTGGAGTTTGCTAGTTGAGCCAACAGAGGTCTTCAGTGTCAATATGCCGATCACATTGTTATAGCACGAGGTAAATTTGAAGAATCACTCTGTTACATCGTTCAGGTAGGGCTGATAATAACAAGTGACTGGTGTACGGACGTTGAACTCAACCCAAGCCCAAGCTCTTGTAACATGAAGCTTTGAAAATAAGCGAATGCATACGAGGAATGGATGTCATCTGGGTCAGACTCCGATAATCAAAGTAAACGAATGTGTGCAAATAATATTTTTAAAAGTCGAAAATTTGGTTGAAAATCCTATACTTATATTTCACTGTAATATATTTGTAACCATTATATTAATACTAAATAATAATATATATTTTTATATTAGGTTACTTAATTGGTTATTAATGTTATTGTAACTATGTCAAGATGACATATCTGCCTATTTAATTTGTCTGAAATTCTATACTACTCGATCAACAATGTGCTTATGTAAGACTTAAATAATTTATGAACAAACCTCAAGATTATCGCTTGACCTCGTTAAGAAGTTATGTGCTCTGATAACTTCAATTGGAATTCTGCTGTCACGAAAAAGACGCGCAACTCAAAATGACTAATTTACTTAAATTTATAGATAGAATTCAAAATTATTTAAGAGGAGAACAAAACACAAAGATATTGTAAATATACTAGAGTAAGTAAGAATATTGCTCTGACAGATAACGTCTCTGTCAAAAAGAAAACATTTGTACCAATAAAACGTCTACGTCGACGTCAACGCACCAAGATAGCACTGGTTGACGGCTATACTAAATCGGAACCGTGCTGCTGCAGGTATTCTAGAAGAAGTTGTCAAACATCAAACATCGTTGAGAGGCGCAGTTTTGAAATTAAAAATTGAAGTGTTTCTGAATAGCTGAACAGATCAGAGCTCAATATGCAGTTAATTAGGGCGAGATTTGTCAAGATTTTACTCTTGATCATATCCATAAAAATATTTTTACTACTCATATTCATCAGCTACTACGATTCTGATGAGCCCAGTCGGCGATCTAAACGAATCGTTTTTATCAATGAGTTGTTGATTGACAAAAAAAATGGTAAGAAACTAATTATATATTTTCATCACTTTAATTTTAACCTGAATACTATCGTTTTAGAGCCCAGCTGGGAGCAGAGATTGAAATTCATACGAGAGGAGATGCCCTCGTTCCCGCTGGAGGAACTGCTGCGAAGACCCTCTACTGAGCCCAATTGCGGAAAAGTTCCCAATTCTTTGGACATTGATTTCAGCAATGACTATTGGCAGACGGTTCACATTGAGAACCTGACATATCATCTCTTTGGTGCGTACTATGACAACAGGGAGAAGATTACAGAGGCGCCGCTTGTCCGAGTTTTATCCATGATCAATAATTATGGCGCTTGGGACAAGGTCAAGTATCCCGACTCCTATTGTCAAATGTGGTTCAAGAATCGCGTGGATCCAGTAATTGCTAATGTAAGTGATCATAAGATTATTTGGTGGTGGGGCGGTAGCGGGGAAAGGCATGTCTTCCCGACGCTTATCAGCTGCCCCCTGCCCAAAACGGAAAAGGAGGTACCCGAAATGGTGTCCCTGGTAGCCCAGCGCTGTGACAAAGCGAGAAATCTGCTGCGGGTCATTTACGAACCTGATGTCAAAACGGTCGCCATGCCACAACAGAAGGATCAGGCGATGAAGGATCAAGATAACTCAAGAAAGCCCCTGCGCTTTATGGTGTGCGTAAAAGGTTTAGACTTCCCCTACAAGGACAAGTCTTGGCGTCTGGTTGAATGGCTTGAACTAATGCGGCTGATGGGTGTCAGCAAGGTGGTCTTCTACGATGGCCAGATTCATCCGAATATGACGCGTGTGATAAACGATTATGTAACCAGCAGTCCGGGCTTTGTCGAACTGCGCCCCTTGTCGATGGGTCGGGGAGAACCGCACACGGGAAGAAATTTTCATCACTATGCGATGGGTGCAGACTTCTTAAATCGCATACTCAACGAGATGATACCATACAACGACTGCTTCTACCGCAACATGTACAAGTTCGACTATGTAGGCGTCTTCGATATCGATGAAGTCATCATGCCGCTGGGCAATATTACCAAATTGTCGGATCTGATCGAGCTGGCGCACAAGGTGCCCGACTATGAACGAGATGCGACGAAATGCACGGCATGGGCTTCCTTCTGCTTTCGCAACGTTTACTTTCCCCTTTATCCGGAGAGGCCAAAGTTCTACAGGAACCTTCCCAGCTTCTATTATATGCTGCAGCATGTGGAACGCGTTGCGGAACACAGTGATCGCTATTCAGCCACAAAATGTTTGCACTCCACGCAATTTGTGGTTGGTCTACATAATCACTTTCCACTCTTTCATGCACAAAATGGTGAATGCGATCCAAAATCTGTGCCCATTGAGTTCGCCCAGCTGCACCATTATCGGGAGCCGGACAATAAGACGCACCTCCTCAATCCCGTTGTGGATGACAATATCTGGCGTTTCCAGCCGCAGTTGCAGCAGCGTGTCTATTCCCAATATGAGAAGCTCGGGTTTTTGCCCGACATTCAACAATTGATTGACGCGGAGAATCGACGTCGTAAAGACGATGAGCAAAAACTACACGAAGCTATCTCTAAGGCATAGATAATAGTAGACCTAATATCATGTACATATACTCTGTGAAATTCGATTAAAGGCACTTTATTTTTGCCTTATTAAATTAAAAAGAAAATTTGTAACATTAACATAAAATTTCTTATACATTTTTTCTTAAGTTCGAGGTTCGAATCGGTCTTTTTGGTGTGCTTCCTTAAAACTGGCTTTGACCTCATTTTCTTCCAAACCAATTGATCAGTACCTTTATCCAGAACTGTCCTTTAAAACCCAGAAATACTTACATACAGAAATCAGAAATCAGGATATATATGCAGTTTACAATATAAGTAAAGTTAAACACATATTTCTTAGTTATTCAATATTTTTCAGTCTTATTACCTTTTGAGGAATATTCTAACGCTTATAAAGCAATTGACGTTAAATATGTAGGTTTTGATTAAATCAACAAGATATATGAGCCCAACTATACTTGGGAAAATAACTTTAATACAATAAATCTTTTATACTATATTGTGTAACGTCCTCAGCCAAAAACATCTATAGCTGTAGCTGCAAGCTAACTACGGCTGGGTGGCATAAAAGTAAACGTAAATATTGTGAAAAAAAATCAGAGAGGGATAGAGAGAGAGGAGAGAAAGCGCTGAAAAATGAGGCAACGCATTTGGTTGTTTATAAGAGAGTTGCTGGGGCGTTGAGCACAAGGCAAACGCACAAAAGTGATTTCGACAGCAGGGCGGCCCAGTCATCAGTTAGCGTAAGAGCTGGGCAAAAAGTTGGAAAAAGAGAGGGAGACAGATAGAGAAGAGAGGGGAGGAGGAGCTAGCTGAGGCAGTCAGTCAGTGTCAAAGGCAATGGCAATGGCAGTGGCAACAAGGAAAATCGTCGAGTGGCGACGCGACGTTCTTGTTTACTTGAAATTAATTAATGTGGCAACATGATTTAGTACTCGCAGGTAAATAAGGCGTTCATAAATGTTAAAGGATTATTAGCTGACAGCACACGTGGCGTATACGCAATTTCGCATTACGTTGTCGTCAAACGGGACCCACCTCCTCCACACAAACCTACAAACCAAACGCATTAGCAGTCAGCCCAGTTGAGTTTTTGATGAATTGTTTGTCTTAAAAATTTACAAAAGGGCGTAATTAATTAGCCAAAAACAGTCCCTCAGCCTTCATCATTCAGTCAACCCCCGCTTCGCTCACCTTTTTGTTGGGTTTTTGTTATGCTGTTGCTTATTTAAATTGCAAGTTCACGAGGGCTGTTTGATCAGTCGTCAGCTAATTAGGCAGGACTTGAGACAGCCCTCGAATGCCACTTGTTGCTCTTTGTTGTGCAAACAGCAAAGTTGAATGACATCAAACAAAAAGTGGAAAGTTGGAAAAAGGTTACGTAAACGAATTGGAATCACGTGGAGAAAGAATTTAGCCTTGTATTTTCATTTTTAGAAAGTGGTTGGTATATGTTGGGCTTGACGGTAATTGTAGAAAATTGCTTGTACCCAAAAGATAAATATAATTGTTTATTCGTGCCAGTAATAATTAGATTGATTAAGCTTAAGCCTAAGCTTAAGCACGAAAGGTCATGGTCACTGAATTTATTTATTCCGTCAATCAATATTTTTTTTATTTATTATTAGTTTGTAACTGGTGTGTTAGATGAAGATGAAATTAAATTAAACAGAGTTTATGTGAAGGTAAAAATAGTTAAATGATTTATTCATCGATTTTTTAATAACATTACTTATTTTTGTGAGAATTCTTTTATTGCTATTGTCCAGTTTAAAATATTATTCAAGTATTAAACTTCTGTTTATATAAGCTTTACCAAGTCTGAAAATCTTTAGCGCGCTGTGTAAAATCCAAGCCATTAAATTTATGGCCAGGAGCAATGCATCATTTTAGCTGCATGAAAGGAGAGATGGGCAAGCAGTTGAGTCTTAAAGTGAGAATTTGCAATGCTTATTGTTGAAACAAGTGTATCGCTAAGAGGCTAAGGGGCAACAATACTACTAGCAAATTCGGTTGCAGAGCACATGATGAGAGCGATCATCAGAGAGCAGAGGCGCTTGTCAAATTGCGTGAATTTAAACGCAGCTGCCTCTGAGAGCTCCTTCTGAGAAATAAGCAGCAGCAAAAGAGTTGGCAGCATTGCGCGGCCGGTTAAATTGATGCATAATTCCGCAGCAGCTGCAACTGCAGCAACAGCAACAGCAGCATCAGCAATGAAATATGATGCAGCGCATGTGGCAAGCATATGAAAAGCGACTGGATTTGCCAGATAAGAAGCGAGATGACAAAGGGGAGGCAGTGTGAGATGGCAAAATGTTGTATTTATGCAAAAAGCGGAATGAAAAATATTTTCACATCCTTGACTCGCAACTGCGCCACAGCGAGAGTGCCAGCTCGACTTGTGAAATGAAAAGGACCAAGCGCGTAGCAAAAAAAAAAAGAAAGAAGAATATGAGAAAAAGAAAATAGAGAACGAAAAATGCAATACATCAAATGAGGCAAAGAAAGCGAGAAAGAGGAATGCAACTTGACAACGTCGCTGTCTGACTTTATGATAAGGAAACATGCGAAAGGGAGCTGTATACGATGAGGGGACTTGTGTTGCGTTTGGCTTGGCTTGGCTTGGCTTGGTTGGGCTTGGCTCGACTATCTCTCCCCACAGCCAGATATATGATGCATTCAAACCAAATGCCAGCCGTATTGCTCGTAATGCCAACTGATGCACACTAAACACAAAACTCGCTGCATCATCAGCACAACAGCAGTCGCTGTTGAAATTACAGACTACAGTCGCTTGAATGTATGTGATGGGTATATAGATATAGCTGCAGTCAACGTAATAGCAATGCTGCTTCTCTTCGTCTCATTTTATTTTCATATCCTTTATGTAATATGTATTCTTGACCAAGATCGAAAGCCAAGTCGCTGCAGCCACATTTCCAGAGTATCTCGTAGTCAAGAAGGGGATACTTATCAGATAACCTAGTCCTTTCATATAGGTTCTGTGAGCTGTTTTAGCTATAAATCAAATACAAATTTAAATAATTTAAAACTGAGCTAGCTTTTTTTGCAGATTTCAATTATTATTAACATAATTTTGACAAATCTGCTTATATTGACCACAACTGTATACATAAATTGATTGTATCAGATTGCTCTTTTACACTATTTACCATTATTCCCTTTGTACAGATTGTGTTTGTTTACTCACATTTAACCCGCAGCGGCAATTGATTGCTGACCGTTTCCCCCTCATCATTGATGGCGCTACACGCATAATTTCCGGCATAGTGTTTGGTTATCTTCTGCAGCACCAGACTCTGATTCGACCGGATGACACGAGCCGACGTGTTGTGCTCCAAGTGGATGCCCTACAAAGTGGGTAAGCATTTAGAGAAAAAGAGAATATGTTAATATGTTTATGCGAATTTAAAAGTAAATAATGGTCTGCATTAAATAATTAAAAACAATAATAATGGGCAAGTGAACTTTGTCATATGCACCCAATTCAATTGTGGTTTTTTTTCAATACTATTTGTGAATAAATTATGTTGATAGGTCTATGCTAGGTGCCAGACTTGGCATGTGTTCTTCGCTGATTGATTGAGCGACAGCGACTGCAGCTGCGACAGTTACCGCAAAATCAATGCCCCAAATTACGAAACTATTTTGTTCCCCACAACCGTACATTGGAGACTAGAAGGCACACCATCATTTGTCCACCTGCCCAACCAACTGCCATTCTTGGTGTGAAATGAATTGAAATGCGCAAATGCAGCGCAATGCAACCTCAAGCCGAAGTGAGGAGGAGCGGATGCTGAAATTGGGAGCATACGCAACTTGCCAATGTTATTGACACTTAAACAGAAATGAATGGAAGCCAACCAAGCAGACAGCCGGCCCTAGAGTAGACGCAGGACGACCTGGGTACCCAGTTCCTGATGCCGCCGTTGTCAATTGGGGATTTCGGTTTTTGGCTTTTGGGGTTTCAGTGTGTGCCTGGCAGCAGATATGACAGTAGACCGGGTTGGAGGGGAAAGGATGGTTGTGCAACAGAAGCTCACTTCCAGCTGACTTGACGCGACCTACATTATGTAACCACAGCAGCTTCCGCCATTGAGGATTCGATTGTACGTGACACTCGAAGTAAACATCGTCGCCTTCCTTGATATCATCCGGTGACAGTGTGGAGCCCAGGCGCAGCGTAACCAATGGGGGATCTGCAAAGAATTGAAAATTACGTGTAAAGCGTGGAATTAGAGTAAGTTTATTTAATAATTGAATATAAATTCCATTGACATCTATTATCAAATGTGTATTTATAAGCACAACTATAATTAAATACTTATTGCTTGATTATTATCTTAACACCAAATTTTGAAGGAGATTCAAAACTTTAGCTAATTGGAACGTGTTTGATCAGAATTCATTTATTTCCAATATACTCATTAAATATGGTCAAAACTAACAATTTGTATTGGCTGTGTACAGATGTCCAATTCAATTATTTTACTATTATTGTTGTCCTACTACTCGTCATGCACAAGATGCTTAAAACTTACAACGACATTCAAATCCCTATATGACAAGCGATTTTGTTTTTTTATTTTGGTTTCCTTTCCGTCATCAGCTACAACAGTAAGTGGAGTGATCTATTTGGTTTAATAGTGGTTGACAGATATGGGCGATTTTTTGCAACGACAGGCGCCCCAGCAAAGAGTTATGGGAACAGAAATCTAATGACAACTGGTAATAAGTAGAACTTTGAATCGCAATAGCTTTCCACTAGCTGGCTGGCTCTAAAGTTGAGCCCCAGGTCTGGCGTTGCTTGTGAACATGTGTTGCCGCTTAAGTCGTTTGAATTTGCTTAACGAGCCACAAACTTTGCGACAAACACAGCACACAGGACGTTGAAGGAAGGGCGCACGTGCTAACCTTAATATTGTTGAGTTATTGGCGGCCAAAGCCAAACGGCGCCAGTCAAGAGTTAGACGACAACGACAACGACGACGATGACGACGTCGACGAGCGAGGCCAAAAGTTTGCTCACTTTAGAATGGCCTCGCAAAGTTTGCTTTACCCTATCCCACTCTGCCCCTTTCCTGCCCGACCCAAAAAGGTCTAACTTGGCAGCAGACAGCAGACAGCAGTCGCCCCGCCAATCAGCAAAAGTGCTCCAAAAGGGCCCCAGTGCAAAAAGTCTTGCGCCAAAAGTCGCGTCGCTGTATTTCCGCACACATGTTGCGGGCCATTTTTGTGATTATCATTTACCGTTAGCTACCCAAACTGCCAACAGCTGAAATCGCCCGAAAAATATATGCGGCTACCCACACTCCCATCACCATATTTTGGGGCGGCCATCGATCGAGAGTTTCCTAATATTTTGCACTTCCTCTCTCTCTCTCTCTGTCTATATATATATATAGATATATATATATATATATCTGGGGTAATTTATGTGCAAGCTAAAGTTTTGAATAATAACATCATTTAATATATGCTGCTCTGTGATTAAGCTGCTAAGTTGTCAACTTTTAAAATATATCTTACAAGATAACTATCAAAACTCAATAAATTATTTTTTTATGTATTATTAAATGATAGCAATAGTTTTAGTAATAAGCCCAGCTCAATGAATATTTGAGTCAATATTCTCGTTTAGATTCACAATTCACCATAATCTAAAAGTTAATTATAAAACAATATTTGCTCAAAGTTATTTAATAATGCTGAATTTTATTTAATTATTTATTTGTTTTTCTTTTGTATTGTTTAATGTCTGCTATGTTTAATGCACTATATTTGAAAAACTAAAAAGTTTCTCAACCGAAAGGATGTTTCAGAAGGAAGAGGGGGGATTGCATATGTGTATATAAAGATATAACTAGAGATTTGCCTTAAATTGTATAGATATGTCAATCATACTTGGTCCAACAACTGTTCATAGGGACTTCCATGGATTTGATCTCTGCCTGAGCTACAATAATAGTTGGTTGGCTGGCTAGCATATACATCATCTAACTTACATACATGTTTGTATATATACATATATATATAAGTCCTATTGCTATGCTGCATTGTGCGCCCACTTTAAAAATATCAACTCAGATTGCGGCATTGAGAAAAATATCGCGATGCTTTCGCTTCTCCAAAATGCCAGGCACGCACACAGCACAAGCGCCAATGTAGCCCAGTCATAAACAACGGCTAAGGGGCATGCACACACACACACACACACACACACACACACACACACACACACACACACACATAGACCCACAGACATTGTAGTAGACAGCGTGTGTAGTGCGCTCATGGGATTCTCTCTAGGTCTGTGATTGCATTGCATGTTCCTTCCTTGTTGCTGTTCTGCTTCTCTGTTCGCCGGGGCCACATTATAAATTTTAAAACGAGCGTGTCACATACACAGACATAAACAAAATTATACGCAAGGAATGCAGCAGCTGCCGTGCCCTGCCCACCCCCACAACTCAACCTCGTTCACATAAAGTATGGCAAATGGCCTTGCCAAATGCCGTGCCTAAGATGCCAAAACGAAGTTGGCATAATAACTCAGGCATGATGCTGAATAGAGATATCGTACAGAAAGGACAACAAGAAGGACACAGAAACAACAAAAACAGTAGCAATAACAACAAATGTGAAACGATGCAAAACATATTTGCCATGTGTGTTCAAATTAAAAACACCAGCAAATAATTGAAATGGCCATAGACGAATATAAAATTCGCTATGAAGAAAACCATAAATATAATATTAAAAAAAAACTTCAAAAGTAGTAAGAAATTAATTAAATGGGTAAAATAATGACCAAATGTTAGTTAGCAGTTTTATGGAATGAATAAAAAATTAAAAAAGGACGAAAAAACTGTTTATTATTTTGAAAGTTGCATTGATTATAATTTTAATTAATTTGTATTCGTATTTAATATTTTGGTTATGATATGATTACATAACTATTTGACTGAATGAACTTGAAAGGACATTGGGGAATCTGGAACTTGAATCAGACTCATATATCTCAATTTGAAAAGTTAATACCATTTAGCAAAGCTGCTCTTTTAAGATAGACGTAAATTCTCATATGCTTTAGAAGACTTTACGAATTCAGTGCATAATAATTTTATTTGCGTATTTGCCAGCCCAAGGCCAGGCCCAAAATGACTGTAGGGTATTACACATGCTCAAATTAAAAAGCATAATTTGTATAGTACATGTATTTTTTGTAACTTTGCTTAAAGTCAAGCGTTTGCCTGCAACACCGCAATACATATGTATATGTATATAATGTACGTGTGCACGTATGTAAATGAAAATGTTGCGTTACGTGCCGATCATAAAGTTTATTTCCGTCAATGTAGCAAAGGGCGTAGGCAGCATCGACGGAGCCAGAAGCAAAACAAACAAATAAAAAATAATATTCCGAAGTATAAAATATGAAGCCAACAAGTATGTGTGGCGCATAAAAATATAATAATAACACCTTATTTCTTAACATAAAACCTAAACAGCAGCATGTTTTTCTTTCTGTGTATTTTCTTCATACGTATTTGTGTTTTCTTTTCTGTCGGTACGTCAGCAGATTGCAGTAAAATTTAATATTTGAGGAAGTGAAAAGCAAAGAAACAACATTACGTGATGTGCCGCATATGCACACACACACACACACACACACATGCATATGTTAGTGTGAGCACAAGTGTGTGTGTGTGTGTTTGCACAATATACAAACAGTCGAAATAATAAAATACATTTACAGCCGCAAACGGGACGTATACGTAACGCCGAGCAACTGTAAACTCAACGGTGACTTTGGCACTTTACGATGTCCGCAGTACTTACTTTGCGGCTATTGACCCATTCAATTTGCCCAAACAATTTTGTAAATGTTGGTATTTGTATTTTGGCTATGATTATAAGTTTGACCGCGACTTATAAATAACCGAAGCTTTTGTTATCACCAGTTCAAAGTAACTGTAAATATTTGGAAACATATTCAATTCATTTGATTTTCATCTCCTAATTGATAACGTTTATTAGCCGATGAACATTATTTTATTTAGTACTTAGCATTATTTACTTACTTCTTAATGTTAAGCATAATGCATATAAATACAAATAATAATTATGTAGACCATAAGAAGAGATTTTAAATATTTAGTTGGTGACCAAAATGTGACATAATTCAATAACATCATTTTCTTAAAGACGAATTGGAACTAAGCTCCCAAGGATTTAGGAAATTCAAATTGAAAGTGCTCTGAAGTCTTAAAAAGACATTGAACCTTCAAGCTAATGTCTTAACCGAAGAGTAGATAGATAGATATAGTAGCAAAATATTCCGTATCAAAACTTTAATTTAAAAAAAAAAGGAAGAAGATTCTAATAACTCTGCCATTTATAGAGTTACAGTTCTACCTACTTTGATATTGTTGTTTGGTTATTTTAATTTTTTGTTTTTTTCATTTCTGAAGGATGGAGTGAGGTTTGATGGCTACGTACACAAAAAGTGCTTCATTTAATTTAAGCGCCTGCCATACATTTTGTTAGCCCACATATTTCACTTGGGCGCTGCAGCGTTGCCCGCTACGGGGAGCAATGATAAATAGAGGGGTGGGGGAGGGGGGGAGGTATGTGGAAGAGGCAGAGGGGCAGCGGAGGACGGTAGCTACCTTCTGGCCCATGGCAAATTATTCACAATTTGTCATTTGTCTTTGATTTATTTGCATTTTAAAGGCTTTCAACGGCGACGTCGACAACGCCGACGTAATAAATTTAGCTGGCTGTCTACCTTTTGCTAGCTGTCGGCAAATGCTTATTTTTGCTGTTGCGTTTTCTTACTCTTATTTTATTTTATTTTATTTGTTTTTTTTTATTTTATATTTTTAGCTAAGTATATACATGGCAGATATATGTGTGTGTGTTTGTGTATATATTTTAGACTTAAACACAATTTGTAATACTTACAAACGACATTCAATTTCCACATGGTCTCCAAATAGAGGCCGTTCACATTTGGATTTTCCGCACGGCATGTTATCGATTTGCCATCGTCGTCTGTGGTAGGCACAAAGCTCAGTTCTGAGCGTGTCGAGTTCTTTGATATGTCGTCCTGGAAAATGTGTTTCTGCATTAATTAAGTTTCGGCCCTAGACGAGTGAGAACCTCCCATCCCCACATCCCACATTCTCCACTTTCCCCGTCGAAAGTGTCCTGAGGCGCAGTTCTTCGTATCGTTCTTTGTTTTCTTTGTATGTCGGTATGTGTGAAAGTGTGAGTGTGTGCTTCTTTTTTTTGCAAATTTGTCGAAATATTTTATGTTTGCAATTTAAAATTTATTGCTGCATACTTTGGGTTTTATGTGACTTGTGTGGGTATTATAAATTTTATAGCGACAAGCAACAGCAGCAACAACTACAACAACAGCACATAATTAGTTGTGCTTTGTAGTCGTAATTCTTGCTGTTAGTTGAACGGGTCATAAAATTGTTCATTTTTAACAGTGTGTGTTTTTGTGTCCTCCCTGGCGGCCAGACGCCAAACTTGCGAATGTAAAAGGCGTGATATATGCACACACACAAACACATTCCCTGGGAACGGAGAACACTTGTTCGTGGGTGTGTTGGTGCTTCGATTTTAAGTGGTATCGTTCGTAGGTGTTGAATGGCGAACAATTGGCGGCTTGCTCTGCCATCGTAGCAACCTAATTTTTCGAACAACAAATATATACTGCAAGCAACAAAAAGTAAATATTCATATAGCTGCCACGTCAAATAGTCGAAATGAAATTGTAACTAAAAAGAAACAAACAAAACATACATTAAGCTCACAGGGGATTATGTAAAAACTCTATATTTACGAGGTGTCTCTTACTGCCTGGAAGGCCATATGCAAAGTATATTAAAGATGGAACACGATAAAGTAAGTAAATCAGACAAATCCCTAGAGTTTAAGTGGAATATACTTTGAAAAAAATTACCCAATCGAATGGAATTGAACTGAAATAAACAAAAATAATAGTAGGAAAATAATAATAGAAAAACTTGATAGTTGGAAAGCATTAATAATTAAGCACTATTATAAAATTAACTAGGATTAAACTAACGCGGCTATCAACCTGCAAAGTAAAAGTATATACTTTAGAAAATAAACAGAAAATGATGGCGATTCTGTAAATTTCAGGACGATTTTTTTCTGAGATTAGGCTAGACTAAGAACTGGGCTTTCGTAGAAGGGTTTATTCTAATAGTAGATATAGAATAAATATCTTTTATAGTTTCAACACTAAAATACTTTACTTGCTCACTTTAACAGATATATTTGTCTCTTAAAACTGTCATCAAGTAGTGACTTACTTAAATTTAGCTTAACACTGTTCTTGGAATAACATGTTGAGGCACTTGCTCTCGTCTGGGCTACACTCATTAGCAGCAATTCGGAGCGAGAAACTCGGCACAGTTTGGTGTGTCGTTGGCCTCAAGCGTTAATTAATGCTGTGCCCCATTTGAAGTGTTCTAGGCTTTAGCTTATATTCGAAATATCTGCATGTCTGGCAATACGGACACATACACACACACACAGATAGCACCCACAACGCCCACACATTAGAGGGAAACTAAGGCACCAAAAGGCATGTTGAACATATCTAAAGGCCAGTCTGTCTGGGTGGCTGACTCTCTCACTGTCTGACTGTCTAACTGTTTGGTGTGTGGGCTGTGGACTGGGCAGACATTTTGCCGCATTACGGCAACTTTAGGCAACGTGAAAAACTACTGAAAAACATTTCCGGCCTTTAAAGGAGTGTAGCTGCAAACGGCAAAGCAATCAGCGACGGTATGCATAAGCGACTAAATGCACATATGTATCTATGTAGGTATGTATGTGAGTATGTGTATGTAAGGCGGACAGACATGGACATAAACAACAACAGTTTTCGGTTCCGGAGCGGGAACGAGCTTAGAGTTGGCATGGTGGAGGGGCGACGACAACGGATCGGCGCAAAAATGAATTGCAACAAAATTGCGCTAAAACTCCCATAAATTTGTATAAAGTTGAAACAAGAAACAAAAGCACAGAAAACAAAAGCAAAAAAAAGAAAAACGAATATAGCTAAGGAAAAGCGTGGCAAATGGAGTAAAAAAAACCAAGAGGGACGTCTGAATATGTTAGTGGGCGGTGTGGGGGATTGTATATTGTGGAGTTTATATCACATTATCTGTGTTTATTCTAACGGTGAATGTCGAGTGTAGAACGACGAGCGGCGAGTGGCGAGTGTTAGCCACACCCAGGGACAACAAGTGGGTGTTGCCAAACTCTCCTACCCTGATAAAGCAACGGTTTATTGTATGTGTGTGGCAGACTGTGCAAACACAATAACTTATCGAGCTGGTGTATGTGTGTGTGTGTGTGGTAGTCAAAAGAAAAGTGTTGGGCAAGTTACGTCAATTGCGGTCATGTGCGAGTCCATTGCAGTGGATGTCACCTCCGACTGTCTGCAGTCTGTCTCCCAGTCCCCTTTCCCCCCATATCTCGCCTCTTTCGCCACTCTCCCCTACTCACTTTTGTGCGTCGCAGTTGACGTTTTCCCTTATACCACGTGATGATGGCATTGGGACGGGAACCCGACGATTCGCACGTGACTTCATAGCGTCGATCGGCAATCATTGAACTGGGTGGTTCCAGAATTTTTACGGTTAATGGTTTTACTGCGAAAAAACAAAAGCAATCACATTAGCCATTTTAATATTGCATATTGAATAAAAATGATATAATGTTTTCTCTTAAATATAGGTTTTAGCCAAAGTGCAAATGCGAGGAACGGAACATTTTCATATTATGTTGTTTCCAACAAGTTTTGTAGAAAATAAAATTTTAAAATTACCTATATCACTTTTATCGATTGTAATTTAATTTCGTTTTTTAACTGAACACATTAGCTATGTAAAAAAAAAAGAACGTCTCAGAAAACTTTCACATGAAATAATTTATGGTCACTATTCATAATGCCCTGTTTGCTACTCGTTTAACTTTTTAAATACTTGATACTTTGCTCTGCTTCTGTCTATATATATATTACTCAGGACTAACGGCCGTTTCAACAGCTTTGAGGCGCTTAAATATATATGACTTAAATAATGACGTTTAATGACCGTGCAAACATTGCAGTTGCTGTTTTTGCTGAGTCAACTCCCCAAGAGTGCAGTTAAATGGAGCGAGGTTATCGTTGGGAGTAACGCCCCGCAATTCATTCGATTTTTGTAAACATATAATTATTTAGCGGGTTATGCTGTGAGCCATGAGTGGTGCTTAATGCCGACAATATCGGGAATGTTTTATCATAGAAAATATTCAATGGGACATGTTTATGTTTACAGAGCATGCTAGTTGTTTACCCAATGCTTGTACTATGGTTATTGAATATAAATTTAATTAACGGTGATTTCCACAACACATAACTTAATTTTGGTGACGAACGAACCAAAATCGAATTGGGCCTATTGGTTTTTTCAGGTCAAGTGGGTAAGTAAATAGCAAATTGATTAGGGGATTGGGTTGAATGGGGACTTACGGTGCATATCGAGTATGAAGCTCTTCTCCTTGGGCTTATCTAATTGCGTATTCAATGCCTGACATGTGAATACGGAATTCAAATCGTTTCGCTGCACCGATGGCCACAACAGTCGATTCTCGATAACATCGCCGGAATTGTGCTCGTTTTGATTGTCGACAAGTAGTCCATTTACGAGCCAGCGGACCTGTGGTTGTGGTCGACCTATGAAATGCAGTACGATAAAAGAAAAACAATAGTTATACACATATGCATGGGTGTATGTGTGTGTGCGTGTGTATGTATGTATGTATAATGTATGCAGAGGGAGAGTAAAGGGCGAGAGGGAGTGCAAATTAAAAAGTCAAGCTGGCGCAAAAGGAAGACCAAAGCAAAGCATAAGCAAACTTTGTGATATTTTCATTCTCGGTCAAAGTGCGGCTTGAGGTTTATCTTTTATTTTCTCTTTTTTTTTGTAGTTTTTTTGCGATTGAGCATTCTCTCTTTCTTCTGTTGCTCTCTGTTGTTTTTTCGGCCAAAGCTTTTAAGGAAATTAACAGGAAATTGTCTAGCCGGTCGAACGGATATAGCCATGTGTGTAGCAATAGCAAAAAAGATTGGGTGGTACGGTATTGTACGGTGGTACGGTACGTGGGTATTGGGGAAGGTTGCAATGGGGTTAAGTTAGCTAGTTGGGGATTTACTTACCGCCCACTACACGACAAGTGATAACAATATCGTCGCCCTCCTGCTTGGGACCCAATTGTGTGCCATTTAGTTGACGACCCCAACGATCCAGTATGAGGGGCTGCTCCGGAAGTACTGGAAACGACAACAATACAATGGCAGATTGATAGATATAGGTATCGGTATAGGTCTATATGTACGGTAGATTTGGCATTGCGAGTATTACTACTCTTCACCATTCTCGATACTCACTTATTACCGACAAATTGAAACGGAAGCTTTGCGTTTGAGCTGTGCGAAAATCCACACGACAACGGTAAATGCCTTGATCATGACGTTTGATATCCTGCAAAATATCATAGACATTGTATATTATTGGATTGTGTGCGAGTGTGTGAGAGGAAACAGATGATTAGCATACTCACACGCACGCACAAACACACACAAAACAGACACACACGAACACACACACACAAGCACAGCAACACCCACAAAACATGCGAGTCTCGTTCTGGCCATGTAACATTCAATTATTGCATGTCACCTAAGTCCTACAACTCTGTGGTCTGAGCCGTGTGGCCAACTATATCGAATCGTTAGCCAGGCAATTATGCGACCAAGCTGTTGTAGCCCAGTTCACTCTCGGTTCAGTTCATTGTGGCTAAGCAGTTGCCAATTTGCCAATTTATTTCTTTTATGAAGATTTCAATGTGTCATTTGCCAGATGACAATTCCGTTACGATCCCAAACAAGTTTCACACAGCTTTGCAGCCAACTTGTAATTTGTATTTATTGTTTAATCATTTTACTTAACCCAAACGGGCCAAAAAAAACATATGCATATTCATACAATTAATGATTATTATAAAAATTAAATTGGAGAAACATAATATAATAATTAAATAAATAAAAGATTGTAATTTTGTTAATTATTGAATTGCTTCACGAAAACGTTTTGAAATTCCTATTAAACCAATTTTATTTGACACTCTACAAAAATATATATCGTATATATAAAGAACTTTCTTGAATATAATTTATACATATATTGCTTAGTCTTATTTTCACAATAATTACAATAAACTTGAAGATGAAAATTAAACTGCCCATTGAAGTGTTACGCATTAATAAGCAAACAATAAATCGAATGCATTTAAATCAAACTTATATATAAACTGCCCATTGAACTGTTTAGCATTAATAAGCAACCAATAAATCTAATGGCATTTAAATCAAACGTATATTATACAATCGCCTATAAATGCAAATTGTCAGACAATTGAAATGCATTTAAAATTAATTTATAAGGTCAACTTAATTTGTCGCTCATAATTCAAGTGAGTTACATACATATATATATATACATATATGTATATATATATATATATATATATATATATATATATGTGCCTGGCTGGCATTATTAAGTTGATGCAACCGCGAGTGGCAAATTCATGTGAGTGTTTGGCCTGCCTCTGCGTGTGCACTTCACATCCATTTTCAAATGTTGGTGCGGGTGTTTGTGTCTGTACATGCACCTCGTTAACGTGCAGACAGAAGAACACCCACAGCCCGCCACAAACTGGAAATTGTCCAAGGATTCACACAACAGACGATGTAACTTGAACGCGGAGCCAAGCCAACTTGCCCTTTAAAAGTCAAGTCTGTTTGCGCGACGAGGCGTTAGTTCAAGTATCTGCCACACTGTGTCTACACATGTGGGTGTGTGTAAGTGTCTCTGCGTGTGTGGGTGTCTGTGTGTGTGTGTGTGTGTGTGTGTGTGTGTGCATTGCATGACAATAACGGTAAATCAAGTTATCTGTAAACATGCAAGACATTAATAAACATTTCGCGTGCGCGAGGCAATTTAACAACTTTTGATATCTAAATTTGTTTTCGCAATGCCTCAGCCGAAGTCGCAGTCGCAGTCGCTGTCGCCGTCTCAGTCGCAGTTGTGGCAGCCGTAGCTTTCTACCATTATTTAGCATTCCTTTTGCTACCAATATGTGTTTGCCTCTTCTCCTCTTTCGCCTTTTTTTGCAATATGTTGACTGCTATTGCCGCAGACTTAATTTTTTTGGCACGCATTCGCAATTCCAGTTGCCATTTTCAGCAAATTGAAAGCACTTGCAATGCATTCGAGAATTTTGGCAAAAATTTAAAAACGAAGAAAAAAAGCACATGGAATATGGCATACCATTTTGGTTTGGAGTATATTTTGCTCTAGAATTTTCGTTATTTTATGCAGCATTTATTTACGCTGCACGCAAAATTTTCTATTCAATTGTTTAACATTTCAGCACTTGTATTTGCATTTCGCATTTGTTTATTTATTTAAAATGTGCACTGCTATTTTTTCATTCATTGATTTTTCTGCACTTTCTTCAAGTTCACTCAAATTTAATGCAATGTTTGAGGATTTGATTAAAGTTGAGGCCTTGAAGTGCTTACACACAAACGCGTTCAAAATAAATGGACTGCGGATGTGAATGTGTGTGTGTGTATGTCTTGGGCAACCATTTGAGATCTTACCTTAATTTCCAAAGTTGCTGGCTGGGAGTCAAAATGAAATTTGGCACGTGAGCCAAAAACCTCCGGAGCTGACCAATGTCGGGGCTGCTCAATGGCCATATTATCGCGCACATCAAAGCTGGAAAAGAAAAAAAAGAGAGATAGAAAGAGGGCTTAAATAAATTTCTGCTAAGAATTATTATTATTATGCTGTCTTATAAATATTTCAGTGAGGCGAAATTAAATCAAGTTGAGATAAATTCTTAAGCACACAGCAAAAACTAATGAAATCCATAGGCCACATAATTCACTGCTCGTTTTTATTTTCATTTGAAAATTGTGCTCGAAAATTAGCCCCATCCATTTTAGCCTGCTCATTAGACGAGAGGTGACCCAGACAAAAAAAAAGCCCCTTTGGCTGCCAAAATTAAATTTATGGGCTCGCAGATAACCACTTTTTTAAATTTCCTTTTTCTTATTATGCTGGAGTGCATTTAATGCGCCAAGTTTTACCTAACAGCTGCAATACTCACGCAAATACAGAGAAGGCCATAACCATAACACTTCAGACCTGGCTAAATGCTGAGTGCTGCAGTTTGCTTTGCAGTGGGCACCATTAAGATGACTATAAAAGTTTCTGGCAATGTTTCGCCTGAAACTCGAACTTGCTAAAGATAAATATATTCTCTTCACACACATTCAACCTTATTTGCTATTTGCTTTAAAAATAACTATAGCTTCAAATCGAAATAAGTTTAAAAAAACACACAATCCATTTCATATCGTGTAACTGTACAAAGCCAAAAGCTATTTAAAAAAAAAAAATTAACAAATGGTTTGCATATGTTAGTCACTATCGGAATTTCTTAATATATATTGATTGATTTGATTCACTTGAAATGCAAACAATTTATTATCAGTAGCGGAATCTGTCGATTTTGTGCTTATTGTGTCGTGTCGGTCAGATGAAGATAAATTATCCTAGGGAAACATGTCTTATGCATCCCGACAAGGCTCAGAAAGGAGTACAATAGATCAAACTCGGTTGCAGTGCATGAAGTCCCCAAGAAATAATTATAATTTTATTCATTGTATAATAATAATAATTTAATTTTATAGTAACATACTAAAGTCAGAATATCTTTAAAAATAAGCAAGCTTAGATATATAGTTGTTTACTTCTACAAACTGTAAGATATTGTTGTGAAATGAAGTTATTCAATGTATATTTCTTAAATAAACTACAGAAACTATAGGTTAATTATACTAGTTTCCATATAGTATAAGTACTGCATTGAAATCCTATGAGAGCACTTTGATTGTTTCTCAATTTCTGACAGCTGACAGTTGTTTAAAGACTGGTGGAGCAAAGTTCGCATCGGCGTTGAGTTGCGAGAGCAAAGTCAAGGGTCCGGGGCCCATTGTGTTTGTTGTTTTTATTGTGGCAGCCACTTTTCGTGAGCCGTTGCGGCAAGTGGCGCGTTAAGCGCCCTTTTGTATGCAACACGCAATAATTTATGCGGGCAACCAACGGCAAATGCTGCCAGCTTCTGCCTCGGCGTCGACGTCGACGTCGGCGTCGCAAAATGCAACAACTTAATTGCTGCGTGCCAAGCGGGCGCCAACTCAAGTGCAACGCAAGCAAGCATGAGAACGATAGAGATAGAGAGTGTATGAGAGAGAGAGAGAGAGAGAGAAAGAACGAAGGCAACGTTGATCCAATTTTGTGTAGCCCACTGCGCTGCCATTTTAATTAAAAACTAAAAAAATGTATAAAAATAAAAAACAAAAAAAAAACTGTTGCACTTGGCTGCAGAGCCCGGGGCTCGAGAAAGTGAAATGCTCTTGGGAGGCGAGAAAGGGGAGGGACGCATGTGTCGGGCGAGTGGTGGCTAAGTTTAATAACTGTTCTTTGGGGCCTATGCAGCAAATGTTTATGACCAAATAATATGCTACGTGAACCCAAGTAAATTGAGTGTAATAAAAATGGTCAAAAGTCGAAAGAAAATCATTTGGGTACTGAGGTTGCCACTTTTGAGTTTGATTGCTTTTGTTCATTATGGTTAAAAATGAAAAAAAAAAAGAAAAACGGTTTTGCTTGCTTAAATCGGGAATTGTAGCTATTTTATATAGCATTTAAATTAGTATTTGTAGTTCTCTTAAATGATATTTATGCATGGATTAGCTCTTAAACGATTCTTAATTTAAGTGGTCTGAGTATAGAGCCCTAAGCGAGTGAACATAAAGTATAAAATATGACAATTTTCATTTTATTGGCACAATGTGTTAAAATTTTGAGTACATTTTTTGTGAATATGCAGCGCTGTATAATAAATATACGTTTTATAAATATTGGCCCTGCCAAACAATTGTTTGTGGTACATGTATTTACTTAAAATTGTTGGACACAGCTGTCTCGGAGTGTAGACTGTGCAACATCTGGATTGTGAAGTATGAACATAGATCATATAGGGTCAACGGACTGCAGAAATAAGATATTCTTATCTAGTTAACTTGCTAGCAGCACTTAACACTTGAGGTATATGGCAAGATATATGGCCAGAATTTCCAGCTGTAATATTAAATTTTATATGTGGAACATATACTTTTGTTTTTTTAAATTAAAAATTGCACTTCAGTATAATTTGTGTTGCTAGAAAAGTTGGAACAACAACACAACTGCTACGTATTTGTTTGGCAAAGCACTAGAACTGATATCTTTGATTGATATATTGATATATGATATGGAGAATGATGATTGAAGCGCCTGTTTGCTCAAGTTCATATTATTGATATTAATCATTGCTTTCGGGATCGTCATTTACATTCAAATTGCTCTCATCCGGGTTGTCCGGACTAGAGCAATTTGGATATAAATGGCGATTCCATAACGTCGCAATTGAGAAGCCATCGACTAGAAAAGTGGAAATTGAAATGGAGCAGAGACTGCCCGTCTACATTGAAGATGATGCAGAGAAAGAGCTCGAGCTGAATTAGGTAAGCCAAAGCCACTGCACAAATATAATTAAATATTTTTGTTGTTCAGTATTAACTATTATTCTGTGTAGACAAATTTGACAAAATGAAATGCCTACCCTGACGTTGAAATGCGTAATACGTAATTAGTAATTTATTATGCTGGCTCAGACCCCCGAGACTACTGCCATATTCCAGACAGGGCTTTGTCTTGACTCATGCACTTTGCAGTTATAGAGTTGCCGTTGGGCATAGTAGCAACAACCACAAGAGTCTTGGTCAAGCTTAGCAGCAGCTTAATGGCTAAATCCATATATGTAAAAGACATTCAACGCCATTTATCCACATAATTCTTGCGGCTTTTCGTCTGAGGTTAATTAGTAAATTAGGTAAACATAATTAAGTTAATTTACTGTACGCCTGTGACAACAAAAACACACACAAAAGTTAAAGCGCACATCCAAACAAAAGGCACACTTATCAGTTGGCAGTCAGGTGCAAAAAAAAAGAAGAAACTTACACATACACACACATCCACACAGCACAACTTTAATTACAGGTAATGCATATAGAGGGCCTGAAAATACCCCTTGATGGAATTCATTCACATTTGTAGTAATCTAAGAAATATTTTATTATTGATACTGATAGCATTCATAGTATTTTTTTGTATTTGCAAGAATCTGTCAGTCTATATTTTATAAATAAATGAATATGTTAAGTTAGATCAAAATGTGTTTTCCTTTCTCAAACAATGCCGCTTTGCAGGTATTTATAGGGTATATGCAAAAATATTGTAGCATACTTATGTGCGACGTTGGGCCACACAATTTAAAGGGCAGCTGCTCTCAAGGCTCGTTTGCATTTAATTAAATGCGTATAAAAAGAGAGACACACACACTTAAAGAGTGAGTGAGAAGGACAATAAGCCAAATGAGGCAGTCCCCACGCACTAATACACAATAACAATAAGAAGAGAGAAGAGAGCAAGATAGAGATAGTACTCACCTATATAAAGGTATTCCCGCATTATCACGAAACCATAAGACCATATAAACATCATGCAGGGGCTCGGCAATGGGGCAGGGTAGCGACACTGATTTACCCTCGACGGCATCAATGTCCTTCGTTTTCACTGTACCGATTGTGGTTTGTGGATGTGTTTGCCATTTAGTAGTTGTTGTCATTGTCGTTGTTGTTGTTGTTGTTGTTTGTGTTGTTGTGGTTGAACAAAGTTGCCGCCATTTTATTTTGGGGGCCAGGAAAATTATGTTGTCACGGTTTATGTTGGTTGGTGGTCAGCATCGTTGCCCGGTTCGGATGTTCACATGAAAATAGAAAATAAATGCGTAAAATTTGTTAATTAAATGCTGGTTCCTTTTTGGCATGCGTGGCCGTTCTCTCATACACATATACACATCTAAATGTATATGTATATATAAAGCCTTCTGCAGCTGCAGTCTGGGGCTTTTCGCAATTAAATGTTGATGCCGGCTTAATTTCAACGTAATTACAAACGCGCTGCTTAGAGCCCGCTTTATTTATTTATTATGCATGTGCAAATGCCTGCGAAATACTTTTAAGCCACGCCCACCATTTCGCCCACCACACGCCCAACCGATCCGATCCGACGGGGACAACGACCAGCTTGAGCGAGCACAACGCATTTAAGCCCTTTTCGCACAAAATCTGTTTGAAAACAAGCCCGAAAGCCAAGCATAATCAAAATGTGCGTTATGCCAAACAATTTACTAAGCTTCAGCTTGCTACACTTTTGGGGCAAATAAAAAACTTTTTGAATTTATAAATATGTAAATGTTACACACAAGTTGTTAAAATTTATTTGTGTCTATAGCTTACATGCAAAGTATCGTGGTTTTTTTCTATATGAATTTACATTTTATAAGTAGTTTAGAGTCACATTTATAAAAATGTGAAGTCTGCAGTCGATAAAACCATATATCTCACTCATTTTTTTTTAGACTAACGTCTTTGTACTTAATTATTCTTGAAAATTAAGAATGCTCATTACCATGATAAATAACTGAAAGTACCACAAATATTTAATAAAATGCAATCTTAGTTATTCCATTTGAATTTACTAAGTGAGCGTATATTTTAAATAAAACGAAAGGGCTAATACGGCATTTATGAAAATTTATTTGCATTCAAATACAAATATCTCAGAATTGCTTACTGAAAAAGAAAATATTTATGCAGTAACATTTATATATTTAATATGCACAGCTCTCTTTTATTCGCAATATTTGTTATTTTTTTATCTGTTATAGATGGCTGCACTTTTAGCCGCAACAACATTTTGACAGTTGAAACAGTCAAGCACCAACAGCTATCAAAAGAGGTTACTGTTCTTTTGAATACCCTCTAAAAATGAAAATATTAAATCAGTGTGAAATAGGTTGAGTTGTATACAAATTATTTGTGACCGTAAAATATATTTTTACTAAACTTTGCAAGCACAAATTGCACAAAAATTATATATTTCGAAAAGCCAACGATTTTTGGCTTGTTGACTTGGTAACACACATCAGCGTTCAAATGAAGAACAAAGAACAAATACATATGCATAAATCTTTGGTCTAAATAAATGTGTCTGCGTTGATAATATTTCGTATCACATGAAAGTAAAGGCAATAAAATATGTGACTCTCTAACACAACCCTGGCTGGGTACTTTACGTCAAGGTTTTTGCCATTGACTTTATGTGCAAATATGAAAATATTTCATTTCATTGCCACAATTCGTCGAAATTTGGTGTCAATTCATTGCGAATATGCAGCGCTGAATAATAAATATGCGCTTCCATGCCAAACAATTGTTTGTGGGTTGTGTGTTTGCCTAGAATTGTTCGTACAGAAATATAGACACAGCTGCCAAGAGTAGAGTTTAAATTGCAGCATGTGCGGAGATCATATGGGGTCTACGGACTGCACAAATAAAATGTCTTTATCTATTTAACCAAAGATATATAGCAAGAATTAACTTCAACTGTAATATTAAATATTAAATAAAAAATATATACTTTTTCAAAAAATTAAAAATTTTACTTCAGTATAATTTCTGTTGCTAGAAAAGTTGGAACAAAAACATTATCAGCACGACGAAATTCGATTAGATCCCAGATTGAGACAGCGAAAAGCATTCACGATGAACTTGACTCGGGTGAGTGGAACTTGGAACAGTTAAGAGTTTATTAGCGGAATAGGTGGACCCGAGAACTAATAGCTCTGAACTAAAAATGAAGTTGCCTTAAATCTTATCACACTTATCAACAATGATACTTATTGCAGCCGTTACAAATTCAACGTGTTGCGCTAACCCAAATGACCAAGAAACAAATCGGATGTTCTCATCTGCAGAACGTTCTGGTCACGACCATAAAGAAGCGTCAAGTGAAGCGCCTATTGCGCAAGTTCATATTACTGATCTTAATCATCACCTTTGCATCGCTACTAATCACATTGATCGTCGAGAAACGTCTGAATTCGACGAATGATCCGGACGAGAGCGATTTGGATGTAAATGGTGGTCCCATAACCCCGGCATCCCGTACGGCACATGTGCCGACGATACGTTGGCACGCACGGCCGCCCTTTCAGCACCGGACTTCAGTACGTGATCCGTTGCCGAGTGAGCCACAAATGGAGAAACTGGAGAAGCCAGAGATAGTCAAAATGTTTACACTGCCATCGACAGAGGGCGAGCGCAGAGATTGGCATGACTATAAAGCAATGGAAGCGGACAAGTTGCGAGTAGGTTTTGGGGAGCACGGACTGCCCGTACAGATCGAGGATGCCGCTGAGAAAGAGCTCGAGCAGAAGGAGTACCGAAGGAATGGCTTCAATGGGTTCATCTCCGACAGAATCTCAGTGAATCGCTCCGTGCCGGATGTCCGACGCGAGGAGTAAGTGTGATTTGTGGCTGATATATTTTTATGTGTTAACACAACTTCCCCTCTCTACCGGCCCAGATGCAAGACACGCAAATACCTGGCCAAGCTGCCCAGAGTGAGCGTGGTCATCATCTTCTACAATGAACACTTTCAGACGCTTCTGCGCACCGTTTACAGCATTATTAATCGCACTCCGACGGAGCTACTGCAGCAGATTGTACTCGTGGACGATGGCAGCGAATGGGAGACGCTAAAGCAACAGTTGGACGACTATGTGGCCCAACACTGGCCCCATCTAGTTGACGTGGTGCACAGTCCCGAGCGACAAGGCCTGATTGGTGCACGTCTAGCTGGTGCCAAGGTGTCTATGGGTGAAGCCATGGTCTTCTTTGACTCCCACATTGAGGTCAACTACAATTGGGTAAGCCAAGGCAATAAACTCAATGATGAGTGAAAAGAGTCTTAAAAGCACAAGCTGGCTTAACAACGATTCAGAGTAAGACGACAATAGGCAAGGTAAACAAGCGTTAATCTATTTATAGTTGCCACCGCTATTGGAGCCCATTGCCATCAACAATAAGATAGCCACGTGCCCCATTGTGGACATCATTGATCACAACAACTTCGCGTATAATGGCGGCTATCAAGAAGGAAGTCGCGGTGGCTTCGATTGGCGCTTCTTCTACAAACAGCTGGCGGTGCTACCCGAGGATAGTGTGGACAAATCTCTGCCGTATCGCAATCCAGTGATGATAGGTGGCCTATTTGCCATTGCCAGCGAATTCTTCTGGGATCTGGGTGGCTACGATGATGGTCTTCAAATTTGGGGTGGTGAGCAGTACGAACTGAGCTTCAAGATCTGGATGTGCGGTGGCATGCTGCTCGATGTGCCCTGCTCCCGTGTCGCACATATTTTCCGAGGTCAAATGGATCCGCGTCCCAATCCGCTCAATTATAACTTTTTGGCAAGGGTAATTAGTTAGAATTGTCGGATTCGGCATGTCACATCTTGCTCACTTTGTTCAATATTTGATAGAATCACAAACGCGTCGCCGAGGTTTGGATGGATGAGTACAAGGAGCATGTGTATAGACGGGATCGGACAACCTATGACAACATTGATGCTGGCGATTTGACTCGGCAGCGTGCAGTGCGAGAGCGTTTGCAGTGCAAGTCCTTTGACTGGTTCATGAAGGAAGTGGCGCCCGATTTCCTTGTTCACTTTCCGCCTGTTGAGCCGCCCCCCTATGCATCGGGTGCCATTCAGAGTGTAGCCTATCCAAACTATTGCCTGGACAGCATGGGCAAGGGCTGGAAGCATGCAGTGGGTCTGTTCACTTGTGCTCAGAATAAAAAATCTCCCCAGGATTCTCAGAACTGGGTGCTCAGCATGCACCGCGACCTGCGACGCATCGATCATGAGTGCCTGGAAGTACAGGATAGCCATGTGAATGCCACCGTCTGGATGTGGACCTGCCATCGTCAGGGCGGCAATCAGTTCTGGTATTACGATCGCGAGAAATATTGGATCGTTCATCGCCTGCACGGCAAGCAATGTATGGAGGCCATCGTGGAGAACAATGTGGCCAAAGTGTGCACCAATGCTTGCGAGGAGGGTAATGTGCGACAACGCTGGAACTTTGGCCTGGTCAATAACACAATGCTCGATCACTTCTTTGAGGGCTTGTAACACAAACTAAGCTTGTAAGATTTTCATTGGATTGAATTGGAGCTATTGTATGGTATTTCTAACGTAATTTAACTATTTTATAGTTTAATTTAACTAATTAAAGTTGCTAAATAAAATTAAGACAAAATTAACTGACCCTTCAGAACTGAAAATTTTAACAACTAATTAAACAAATTAGCATGCCTACTGTGGATCGGCTGGGGCGTCAGTTCCAAACGGGTCGACATACGGGCCATAAAAGCTGGACTTTTGGCACAGCTTCACGAGTAGATTCACTGACAGGTGACCCTTAATTTCTCCCAGACGTAATCTTCGTCCCCAGCAGGAGTTATTTTTGCATACAAGTTTCACTCTCTCAAATTTCAAGAGAGAAAAAAGAAAAGAAAGCGAAGAAGAAAGAAAGAATCTCACTAAATTTCACTCACCCACACAGCAAATGTGAAATCGATCTACATTTAACTAATGCTGATACAATATAAATACAAAAATGAGGAATATTGAACTTTCATCAGAAACAGAAAACTTATAAATACAATTTATTGAAAACGAACAAAAACATAATTATATTTCTAAGTCCAGACTAAAATATTAATATCCGCCGATAATCGCCGGCCTGCAGGGGTTCTGTCTTGTTTATAGTTTTGTAAATGTTGCTACAAAATGTGGAACGTAACTATTATCAGCACGACGAAAACGACGATCAGAGCGTCGTATTTGTAAAATCGGAGAGCACTCACTGAGCTACACTGAGAGCACTCACGCTGAAGTTGAAGCGGGAGAGTGGAACTTCGAAAATGTTTGTAAGTTGAGTAGTCGGGCCAAGGCACAAAAACTGATAGCTCTGATTGATATTGCAGAATGATGTACACAATAAGCGAAATGAAGTTGCCCTCCACCTTATCACGCTTATCACACAAATCAAATGGCAATTAAATTAATGGACATTCGTCATGCCACGCGTTGCAGCGGACACCGGTTCAACGTGTTGGATGCATGAAACCATTCTCAAGCCAAGACTCGCAGCTACATGACGTTCTGGCCATGGCCATAAAGAAGCGTCAAGTGAAGCGCCTGTTGCGCAAGTTCATATTTCTCATCTTATTCATAGCCTTCATCTCGCTAGTAACCACATTAATCGTCGAGAAGCGTCTGAATTCAACGACAGAGCCGGACGAGAGCGATTTGGATATAAATGGCGATCCCATAACGCCACCATTTCGTGCGGCACATGTACCGCCAACACGTCGACAGGCGAGACCGCCCTTTCAGGATCGGAATTTAGTACGTGATCCGTTGCCGAGTGAGCCACAAATGGAGAAACTGGAGAAGACAGAGATAGTCAAAATGTTTACGCTACCAACGCCAGAGGGCGAGCGCAGAGATTGGCATGACTATAAAGCAATGGAAGCGGATAAGTTGCGAGTAGGCTTTGGGGAGCACGGACTGCCCGTACAGATCGAGGATGCCGCTGAGAAAGAGCTCGAGCAGAAGGAGTACCGAAGGAATGGCTTTAATGGGTTCATCTCCGACAGAATCTCAGTGAATCGCTCTGTGCCGGATGTGCGACGCGAGGAGTAAGTGTGATTTGTGTTTGATATATTTTTATGTGTTAACACAACTTCCCCTCTCTACCGGCCCAGATGCAAGACGCGCAAATACCTGGCCAAGCTGCCCAGAGTGAGCGTGGTCATCATCTTCTACAATGAACACTTTCAGACGCTTCTGCGCACCGTTTACAGCATTATTAATCGCACTCCGACGGAGCTACTGCAGCAGATTGTACTCGTGGACGATGGCAGCGAATGGGAGACGCTAAAGCAACAGTTGGACGACTATGTGGCCCAACACTGGCCCCATCTAGTTGACGTGGTGCACAGTCCCGAGCGACAAGGCCTGATTGGTGCACGTCTAGCTGGTGCCAAGGTGTCTATGGGTGAAGCCATCGTCTTCTTTGACTCCCACATTGAGGTCAACTACAATTGGGTAAGCCCAGGCAATAAACTCAATGATGAGTGAAAAGAGTCTTAAAAGCACAAGCTGGCTTAACAACGATTCAGAGTAAGACGACAATAGGCAAGGTAAACAAGCGTTAATCTATTTATAGTTGCCACCGCTATTGGAGCCCATTGCCATCAACAATAAGATAGCCACGTGCCCCATTGTGGACATCATTGATCACAACAACTTCGCGTATAATGGCGGCTATCAAGAAGGAAGTCGCGGTGGCTTCGATTGGCGCTTCTTCTACAAACAGCTGGCGGTGCTACCCGAGGATAGTGTGGACAAATCTCTACCGTATCGCAATCCAGTGATGATGGGCGGCCTATTTGCCATTGCCAGCGAATTCTTCTGGGATCTGGGTGGCTACGATGATGGTCTTCAAATTTGGGGTGGGGAGCAGTACGAACTGAGCTTCAAGATCTGGATGTGCGGTGGCATGCTGCTCGATGTGCCGTGTTCCCGTGTCGCACACATTTTCCGAGGTCAAATGGATCCGCGTCCCAATCCGCTCAATTATAACTTTTTGGCAAGGGTAATTAGTTAGAATTGTCGGATTCGGCATGTCACATCTTGCTCACTTTTTTCAATATTTGATAGAATCACAAACGCGTCGCCGAGGTTTGGATGGATGAGTACAAGGAGCATGTGTATAGACGGGATCGGACAACCTATGACAAAATTGATGCTGGCGATTTGACTCGGCAGCGTGCAGTGCGAGAGCGTTTGCAGTGCAAGTCCTTTGACTGGTTCATGAAGGAAGTGGCGCCCGATTTCCTTGTCCACTTTCCGCCTGTTGAGCCGCCCCCCTATGCATCGGGTGCCATACAGAGTGTTGCCTATCCGAACTACTGCCTGGATAGCATGGGATTGGGCTCGAATAATGCGGTGGGCATGTTCTCTTGTGCTGAGGATAAAGAATCTCCCCAGGATTCTCAGAATTGGGTGCTCAGCATACATCGCGAACTGCGCCGCATCGATCATGAGTGTCTGGACGTGCAGGATAGCCATGTGAATGCCACCGTCTGGATGTGGACCTGCCATAATCAGGGCGGCAATCAGTTCTGGTATTATGATCGCGAGAAATATTGGATCGTTCATGGCCTGCACGGCAAGCAATGTATGGAGGCCTTCGTGGAGAACAATGTGGCCAAAGTGTGCACCAATGCTTGCGAGGAGGGTAATGTGCGACAACGCTGGAACTTTGGCATGGTCAATAACACAATGCTCGATCACTTCTTTGAGGGCTTGTAACATAAACTAAGCTTGTAAGATTTTCATTGGATTGAATTGGAGATGGCATTTCAAAAATGTCTAGTTTATTTTAAATAGTTGGAGGAGCTGAATAAAATCAAGACAACTGTAACTCATTAGAACTGTAAATTTTAACGGCAAGTAATGACTGACCAAGTTGTGGCAAAGTTGCTATTAAGACACCGTATATTTAGGATATTTAGGATGTTTCTGTATTTAATGATTAGCTCTTCATCTTCCGCTCCGATCACCTATTAATATTAGACTGACCCAGTTGTCAAACTCCAATCTGATCTACTGGCTCTCTTCATTTGTTGGCGCTCTCTCAGCACGCAGTCTCAGTTAGTGTTCTCACTAATAAACTCCACAAGTACTTTGCAATAGATGGCGCCAGCTTAATTGCGCACTGCAATTGGTGCTATGTGCCTTGAGGATCATGAGAACTTCTAATAGATGGCGCTATCTTAATTTTGTAACCATGTAGTTATGTTATTTTACTCTGTTAAAGATTAACAGCTTGCTTAACGCGTATTTGACTGTTAATTGTCGCTGTTATCTTGTTCTCATCATTATTTTATTGCATTTAGTGTCTAGAATAAATCGTCAGATTGACTGCAGAGCTATGCTAGGCCAACTAAAGAGTTAAGCAAGTCTTTTCAGCTTTTCGTTTAGGCTGCTCGTTAATTATGTTTCTAGTTGCTGAAAATTGATATAAACTAGTGAACATGATGCGGCACTAAAGATCGCAGAAAGCTCATTTAGCCAACAGTATTTAAGAGTTTGTTTTTAATGACCAACTCGAAAATTACATTTACACGTTAAATAGAAGTTTGTGCTTGTGTTTTAGTCAGTTAGGCGTCTTCCGTAAAGGAGCTTACCAAAAAAATGCCAATGCGTCAAAGGCAAAGATGCATTACGTTGACTGCATTACTAAACGACTTTAAGATGACTGCAAAAATCCAGCATCCCTCCTTACTACCTCCCTATGAGCAGGCACTTTTGAAAAATGTTTACTGTTAGTGCCTGAGTTTCGTGCTCGGTTTTTGGTTGCATTTTAGTGTCGCCTTTGGTTGGTCTTCACTTAACTATAGCAGCCACGACAGGTCGACAGCTTGACTGCTCGAGAGCTCGTGCATGTTAAAAGCTATTTAAATATGCTCTCTTTGAATGCCTTGATTGGCTTCATGCCAACCCTAACCATTTCTAACCAGACTCTGTTCCGCTCCCAACTGCTTTTTCCGTAGCTTTGGCTTTGGCTTTGGCTTTGGCTTTGGCTTTGGCATTGCTTTCGACTTGACTTCGTTTGCTGCACAAAAAGACGAAAGCCAAGCTGCAACATATACATACAAACACAAAAATGCAGATATGTAGATAAGGCTGTCGATATGTTGTCTGGATATTCGCATGAATTAACCCTATAATTGCTAAAGTGCGTAAAATGGAAATAAAATCGGAGATGAACGGAAATTTATGGAAGAAGTTATAAATACAACTATAATCAGAAATAGACAAAAAGTTCAATCGAAATAAAGTTGAAAGGCAAAGTTAAAGGTAATTTTAAAAATAGAACAAATAATCGATTATAGTGTTCTAAAATTGTATCATGTGTTTCGTTCATTTCCACAGAGCAATTTTAGATTCTAAAAGATAATTCCAATTTTTGTTACTCTTAACATTCAATGAAATAGTTCTCTCTAAGATAAACATACCAACAAAGCGAGAGGGAGAGTGGCAGAGAGAGAGAGAGAGAGACGGAGACACACGTAATTTGTAAGTATCGCACTTTGTTATCGCCTCAAATTCCCCAGTCACTGCCTCCTCCCCTCCCCATCCATACACTCTTCACCGCCTGAGCTTTGTTCATGCAATTTCAAATGGAAAACTTAAATGAAATTTGTGCCGCTGCGACATTAGTGTTGTGCAACTTTATAGCACTGACAACCGTTATATGTGTGTATGGTATGCACACTTACTCGACTTCACTGTACAGTAGAACTCATATTTTTGGTAAAGCATTTTAATTGATATTTAAGTACGGCTACTGGGCGCCGCTGTTGTTGAAGTTGTTGCTTCGCTTGTATAATTGCCGGAGCGTCTTGTGGCCTCCAATTAGCATAGCCATACAATTTATCATGACGTAAGCTAGTGCCACGCCCCAACACCCTCATCAGCAGCCCATCCCCATGAAGCCAACCCTCTCAATGAGTTCGCCTCCCATATGAAATTCATTAATTTCATGTAAAAATATTTCACTGACAATTACATGTCACCAAACACCCACCAGAGAACGTCTCCCTCTCATTCTCTCTCTCTCTATACCTCTGGATGCGAGTGTGTGTGTTTGTGTGTGTGTGACACTTTGCGATTAATCGTTGGGCTCATTAGTGGTGAAAATATTTATGAAGACCGCTGGGAAAACGCAGCGTTGCGCATTCATTAAATACGCATTGAAATCATTCTCAACTATTTACATGTCAATATAATTTACTCTCTGACTATGAGTATATGTGTGTGTTGAAGTTGTGCGGTTTGAAAAGATTTGTCATTAAGATCGAGAGAACTAGACTAGCCAGACAGCAGCTTTAAATGCATACTGAAAATAGCAGGAAAATATATAAATTCATTTATATACAATTATTTTTAGAAGTGCCTTTTAAAAATTATTAATAAGTTTTAATGTTAAAAATTGCTTTCAACTATATAACTACTCTGGAAGTATTTGAAACTACTACTATAAAACAAATATTTTTGATATATTGAATAAATTAAGTTTATTTCCGTACTATTGTTTTTAGCAGTGCCTTTCAATTACAAAATATATTTGTAAGCACGTTGGAGTCGGGTGTAACCGACTGCGAAATACTTTGTTACCATAAATAATGCCAGCTGATAACAATTAGCAAAGAGCAGGGTGGGTATAGCCAAGATATACCGATCTTTGAAGGATATTTTTGGTAATATACCGTCCAAGTTTGCCTTTCAAATTGCGGTAGATATAGACTTTAGTGAAATTGGGGGCCGGGAGTGGGCGTTGCCGAAACAAATGTTGGAAGAGTTTGTAACTTTCCTTCCAAGTTTGGTAACTGTACCTCTTAAATTACGGGAGACTCTCGCTATCAAATTATATGAGACATTTGCTTTATGAATTTAAACTAACAGCTGTATCAGTTTGAGGAGTCGGAGTGAGCGTGGCCATCCAATTTTCTTCTAGGAGAGTTACCAGTAAAACGCGTTCAAAATTTTGTTACTATAGCTTACAAATTATGGAAGATTTCTAGGACCGAAGTTCCTAGGGACGGTGTAGATGCGGTCCGACAATGTATATGCTGATCTTTGAAGAAGGTTACCAGCAAGTTACAAGTTATCGAATAAAGTTGGGTTCATACAGACGGACACTGCACAAAACCAATATACTATGATACGGTATCAATGTATAAAAATGTCAAATACCTTCACAGCTTGCAAATATGTATATATATATTGACATTCTAATCTGTATAGAAATTCCCAATGAACATGTACATATAGCTTTGCATGAATAATTCCGGTTGCATTTGAAAGTCAAATAATGCAACAGCAAACTGGCTACTGGATGCCCTTAAAGTAAATGAAAACACAACCCCATATTACCTATTTACCCCATATGACTTATTTACTAAACATTTCTAAAATAACACTTATTAAGAAATAAATCGCATTTTAATTTCGATTCGATTTGCAAAATATTGTTACTTGTAATTTAGTAAATTGCTTAATTTCTTATATGCAGGGTATGCTAATAGTCGATATATGTGTGCATATTTCAATGATTAAATGCCATATTGAAATCATTTATAAGTTACGAGTCAATAATTGTATTCATCAGTCTATGAAAACACATTTGAAAGATGCGCTGCGTATATTTTTCTGTGATTATGTTGGCAGCATTTGTGAGTATATTTATATTATAGATGTAAATATTAAAATATATTCATATTTGACATTTTTTTAGAGCCTCGTGCATGCACTGCCTTTAAAGGATCGGATACTTATAGCTGAAGTTAAACAGGTTCTCCAAAATACGAAACATACAGTACTTCAGGACTCAGCGAAGCTTGTCATTGAGTTAGGGGAAGCTATTATCAATGCTCGGGTGGTTGACGAGCTTGTAATACGACAAATACAGACCCACATTGTAAACCGAGGAATAGCACTGCTTGAGAGAGGCAATGTGTCTGAAGAGGAGACGGATGCTCTTAGAATTGAGATGTGGAAGATTCTATCGTTCGATAAGTTAAATAAGCAGCAAATAAAAGCTCGCTCAGCACTGTATACACATAACGCTATAGATGATCTAATCAGCAATGCGGCAAAAAAAATGAGCAGAGAGATACGGTTGTTTACGCTTTTAGCCAATCCAAAGATACAAGAGCTCAGCGATGCTACCAAACAAAGCGAACACGAACTAATTAGGGCCTTTAACAATGTAGCATATGCTGGTCTTGTGCAGCAGGAAGATTCTTTAGATGAATTGGAAGCAGCTCTAAAAAAATATTAAAGTTCAACCGGAAGTTTTCTTCAAAATTTATATATATATAATTTATATATAATTTGATTAATCGAGTTCCGCCACAACTTGTTTAGCGTTATCAATGAATTTAACTTGTACAAAATATATGTATACAAAAATATAGATAACATAAGTGTAGTTGCAACTACTAACTTGTAAGTATAAGTACATATTTATTAAATTGAAGAATCATCTGCTCTACCGCATTGACTCTATAATCTCCAATCATTTATAAGTTATTGAATAGAATTTGAAAACAAGTAACTGCTCATGAGAAATACCCGTTTTTACAGATCACTAAGACATCTGAGCTTCATGGATAAATATTAAATGATACTTAACTAATTTGATACAATTATTTAAAATATATGTGGAAGGTCTAAAACATGTCTATACTATTATCTAATAAATTAATTGAAATGTGGATTTCATGATTATAAATTAAATATCTTTGAGATGATTTGCTCATTTCGTCTCTAACTTTTTTAAGTCCAAATGGATTTTAAGGTTCCTGACATACCCATGCAATGTTTCTTAGACTAGTACTTTGGTATATTTGAAGCATTTCCAACTTTGAAGTACTCGCTGTGGCCTTATTGCGTTTGTCAGGTGTGTTTTCCGATTGCATACCTAGAAGCCAGCTAATTTATTTCTTACTGATGATTATGGATATATTCAATCGGAAAATGCATGAACTGACACAGCTTTTCAACAAAGCAAGCCCGAGCTAGTCAATCTGAACCTGAGCATTTGATCGCTCGCCACCAATTTATCTCGTTAGTTTTGCGATTACGAGTTTGTACAGATAGCGACGGATAAAGCTAACCTTATATTTATTTATTATATTGCATACTTTTGGTCAAGGTTTCTAAAATATATATTTCACCCTGTTATTCAGCTACATAAAGTTTACTTTTAGGCTTATCAATATAAAATGAATTTGTATACTTTTTGAATGTCGGCCGTCCCAATCAAGACTCTGACTTTCGGACTTCAAATTTTCCGTAGTTTAGAACACTTATCACCTTAAAAAGTTTTTGAGGTCATATTTTTAAAAATCATCTGGAATTCCCTCGAATGGCAATTGGTAAAAAATAAAAGCGTCATTTAATGACTAAGATTAACAGAAATAAGCTTAATTTCCTACACACTTTAAATAACCATAATTGAACCCAAAAAAATCATTTTATATTCCTCGTCTTCGGTATTGAAAATTGAATTTAGCCAACTAAAGTCGAACCGCAAACGAGCATAAAAAATTCACAACATGTTCATGTTTTTTGTATTGCATTTTAAATTTAAACAAATTTCAATTTGGCAAAACAAGCCCGACCGGTTGACTGGGACTGAAAATTACAAAATTGCAGATGCCACCGAAATGAAATTGGTTTGATATATTAAAACACAAAAACTGAATTAAAACTAAATTTGATGTGGCTTTAGCAAGGCAACAACGACAACTAAACCAAATAAAGAAAAATCACAAACAACAAGGGCAAAACAGTTTATGGAAAAGTGTTGCTTGCTAAAACGTTTCGGAATCACATAATGCCCACAGAATAATCAAATTCGATTAAATTGACAGAGAGGCGTAGAAAAGTACAAAAAGGGATAAACGTCATGCGGCGGAGTTAAATACAAATCCTGATAGCAGCAAATTGCCATTGAGAGGAATACAATAAAGCATGCAACTGAACGACTATACAATGACCTGTGGCAATTTTGGTTGTTCTGTGCCTCCAACCACCGTTGGTATATGAATTGACGTGTGTAAAAATAACGTGCATAATTAATTGAAGTATTGACATAATTTTATTTATAATGAAGAACTCATTACTTGTTAAACTTAATTGCAAACCAAAAATCATTTTAACTCAATTCTTTAGCTTTAAATTAGCACAGCCATAATCATAATAAAGTTAATATATCATAGCTATATATATTTCTTAGCTTCTCTGTATGTTTGGCAATTAGTTATTGTACATTTAACATTTAAACTCTTGCAAGTCCAACTTTTTAATTCAAAGAGTAACATGTGAAGTTCATATGAATATGTAATCCCTATTCGCCTATGTAACGCTGCAGGGCATCGGCAACTAGCAGGAGCCAAAAGTCAAAGGACTCAGCAATGATTTCTTTATTTACTTATTTTATGTTTTTTTCTTCTTTTTTTTTGTCTTGCTTGCTTGCTGCAGGAGCTGCAGGCCCTAGAGAGTTGAGCGAGATGAGATAACAATCAATAAGCAGAAAACAAGAAACTGACAAAGCAGGGGATAAACTTGAGTTTAGCATACAATGAGGTTCAAATGCAACAGCAGCTGGAAGGATAGTGGCAGCAAGGCCAGCAGGCAGCAGTCAGCAGGCAGGCAGACAAATAAGCCCAGTTTTATAATAAAGTAACAAAAATGCGAAATCTGTGCACAGCTGAACCCACTGCCAGCAACCCCTGAACCACTGAACTGACCCACTGAACTTTTGTGGCAAGGCTATATAAAAGTTGCTATTGCTTTTGTAGCTGTTGCTGTTTTCCTGCTCCTGGCTTACATTAGAGCTGCTTCAATTTTATGCAAAACAGTCAGAAAGTTCAGAGGTGTTGACCATGTTTCTGGCAAAATGCGATGCGAATATTGAATTTGTTTTAAATGACAGCATAATAAGCTGAAAGCTTCCATTTTCTACAGCAGCAAAATATCATATAAAAACTCAACTCTATACTTTGCTAGACTCAGTGTGTGTGTGTTTATGTGTGTTTATGTTTTGTGTGTGGGTTCTGGCAGCACAACATTCAATTTATGTGTCCTATGGGAATTCGAAATGTTGCCAACTTAAATGTTTTGCGCCGAGGGTTGATATTGAATCCAGTTAAAGTCTGATGTAGAAGTCAGAATGTTTACAACTCTTACAATTATGGTATAAAATTCAGAATTGAAATACAAATTATATTTTTAAGTCTATTTTCATTCAAATTGCAGAATTTGACATTTATGTGGCACGCGACTATTTAAAATGTTTCCAAATTAATTCAATAAATTTATATTATAATAATGTATAAGATATATAACATGTACATTTCGCACAAGGCCTTAGATTTTCTCAAATTTATGGATCGCAATAAATATGATTTAAAATAACATAGTTAGCAGTCAAAACTAAATTATGTATCTTTTCTAAGCACGGCTACTCACTTTACTTTATTGCATGTTAAGTTTTAGATGTTATGTTACAGTCTTATACTACACTATTGGCCTGCTTCATATATAATACTATTAATATATATATATATATATATACTATATTTCTTTTTTGCAAATTTAAGCGAATTCGATTCGTGTAATACTCAAGAATATAATTGCATATGAGTTAGAAAACACAGCGTGTTAAGACCACAAATGTGGCCATGAATCTAGCCACAAAACGGCTTCATTAAGTTGGAGTGTATGCGTGTGTGTTTAAGTGTGTTGCAAACTTTTCCAAATTCCTATCTTCCTCACAGCTTCCTCCATCCACAACTTGTGCGACCTAAAAATGAAAAAATCAATACGAGGCAACACTCAACAAGAAAAAAAGAAGAGAAAAACAGGCGTGGAAATCCAACAAGATACAACAATAACAAGAGTTGTGTACATTGTAGATAGTGCATCGAAAAACACATAACTATTTTGCATAAAATAAAAGTTTTTGGGTTTTTCGCATGTGTGTTTGTTGGTGTGTGTGTGTGTGAGCCACACTATTGAATCATACAAAGCACGTAGTATGTCCTTTAGGTTCCCAAGCGGCTTTGTTGTGCTTTTGTCCGTGCATTGTTGCCTGTTGTTTGTTTGTCGTCAGGAGACAAAAAGCTATAAGAAGAGCTCTCAACAACTGTGTTGAGGTGGAGGCCGAGGAGCTGAGTAAAAACCTGCACAAAATAAAAGATCACATACATTGACCCAAATTTATGCAATCGAAACTTTAAAGAATCAAATCAAATAACATAAAATAAAGGACAAGTTTCATTTTTCATTTTTGGCTGCACATGTATTCGGTATTTGGGCCACAGGAGGAGAGAGAGAGAGAGAGAAATGTGAGAATATCGTGTGATATTAAACCTGACAGTTAGGGAATATCGCATACCAACAAACTGCGAGGGGAGTGAGTTGGCGTGTAACGATTTCGCAGACATTTATACTTTATTTTTTATTATTTCATGCCTTCCCTTTCTTCTTTCTTTCTTTTGCTGAATATTCATATTTTTTGAACTCGAAAACTTATGAATTATGCTATATGCATACAATTGTTTCACAGTCTGTGTGCCCCACAGCGGAAGCGGTGAAAACAAAGCCAACAGAGAGAGGCGATGGAGGCAAAAGTGCATTGAAAGCAAGACTGAAACTCGCTTTAGGTGCAAAACAAAACCAAAAAAAAAAGGTAAAAAAACAAAAATGCTCAGTTGTTGTTCTGGATGCTTAGCACACATATTTCTATATCTGCATATTTGTATTGCACACTGGCATACCTGACGTATGCGTAATTGTTTGACAGAACAAATGTGTGTTTGTGTGTGTGTGTATGTGTGTCTCTGCAATGATGCGTGGCTGAGAGCTGTTGTAAAATTAGGTGACACAATTTCACATTTTTTAACAATTTAATTTTTGCGTCTTTTTTTTTTTTGCTTTTAGTTAACTTATTGTTGGAATTTACAATGCATTTCGGTTGATAGCATTTTAAATGAGTCTCGTTAGACATGCAGGAGCGTAAATTATTGTGCATACATTAAATGTGGCATGAATATGTTGATGTATTTCGAAAAATAACAGCTGAGGTGGTTCTTTATTTATAATGATATACAACGGCATCCACAAACACACATTTCATACGCCAAATGAACCGCAATTCATTTAAATGAATATCAAATTAATGTAGATCGATGAACGCTTGCATAGAATTTGGTTAAAAATGAAATAAAAACAAGATTTTTTAACAGGTGATATAAAATATTTTAAACAAAAATTGAGTTATAAATTGTGAGTGTAAAAAATGATTTAAGCCTTTTATTGGTTAAAAGTTGAATAACAATGAGATTCATTAAAAATTGATTTCAATTCTTTAAAAACAAAATTTTGGGTTTAAAATTGAGCATTACATTAAATAAATAAATAAATTTTGCGCAATTTTGAGGTTCGAGGAAATAATTTTGTAATTTCAAATTTATTTTTATTGGCGGTCCTCATTCATTCATTAATGCG